TATATATAATTTAGCGTATTCTTCGCGCTCTCGTTATAACATTAGGATAATAGGTACGATGTGATGCCGATGATGAGCAGTTCGCTGGCACTAGCACGGCGGTAATAGTTCCCATAGAAGAAACAGTGTTTACTGTCATCGCCAGTTAAGTCGCCATCAGTGATGACGTAAGAAATCGCTTAATCACTGTTAAAATTCGGTGACGTAATAGAATTCCTGAATGGAGCTATTCGCATAAACACTTAGCGCCCCAAGTTTGCCTCTGAATCGCTCCGGATCCTATATTCTTTTATGAAAGGTCTTTCGTTAAGATCCGTTGCAAAAGTGAAACGTTCCATTATACGCCTTAAATACCCTTATAATATGTAACGCTATCAAAAATACCACTTTTTTCAAGTTCTAGTAAAGTTTAACTGTCACCGCTTTTTTAATGATAACACATGACATCATCGATTCAAGTTCACTTCCGTTTTACCGAAGTTGTGACCCGTTAACAGTCACTTTGCTGCATTCCCATTTGTTAAATATAAATAATTAATTTTTATTGATTGATCCTAGACCTACTAACGTCACTTCCAACGAGACAATCGAGAACTGATAGGTCTTTGGTGTAACGTTGGGGGCATCAGCGGGCCGGAAAGAAATCGCTCACATCGTTTACTAGGTAAACCTTATAAATTTCGGTTTAGAAAAAATTAGTCAGCAACAATATTTGCCAGAGAACTATTTCATCGGGTGTCTTAAACTGTTTTAGCAAAAAAATAGTTATGCACTTTCTGTGATCCGCAAGCCATTAGTAGAACACTGATGTTGTCATGTAAAGCAAAGCTGACATGAGAGTTCAGATTGTGATTATATGAATGGTACGATGTCCGATGAAAGTTAACCAGGTCTATTATTATGTCAGTTATATTAGATGTCACAGTACTAATAAGAGCGCGTTTTTTATCCGTGTAGATTAAGGTACAATCTCAAGGAAAGCTCGAGTAATTAACAGAATATTTTTTTTTTTGAAAACGCCGCTGGAAACAGCAATATGAGCCTTGAATCTCACGGTTTAGACCGCGAAAACATTCAGCTCATTCGCAATGTACTTGAAAAAAACACCCGCTTAGATTGTCGAAGACGTTCTTAAATTGTGTGTTATCTACCTATACGATGTGTAAATGGATAGCTGATATAGTCCAACATATTCCATTGATTGTGTAGAGCATAACGTATTTTGCCTGTGAATATTCAAGACACGTGGTGGTCTAGGTTCAGATCTGTCATAGACAATAGAGTCAATATGATGAAATACCAGACGGTGGCGTCGGACGAAAAGGTCGAAACATTCAGTCCATGTTGAACACATGAAACCAAAGCACCAAGTTACTCAGAACTATGGGATTGCATTACGTTTTAGCTGAATTTATCATTTACTGTTGCCCCGTAAAGTATCCATTTAAGCGGAATGTAATTAGCTAAAAAAATTTTTTTTAAATGGCTAGAAAGATTAACTAACAGTTTAGGTTAATAGTATGTGATTGTTGAGCTTAATCGTTGTTTGCTTAAATCGCTGCGAATTAAAGATTTCCATAACTGTCTGTCTATTTAACACACCTAACCTAATCACACATAACGCCTCCTAGAGTAGTCCTTCAGCAGTATCATTTTACGCAAACTCAGCTCTGCTGTATGCGCGTCCTGAAGATGGTGAGAACTTCATGTTGTCAGAAAAGTGTATTTTTATTATAAACAGAACAGGAAGCTTTGCATTAATAATACTGAATTTCGCGCCCACTTTAATGTTTGTCGTATTTCTCTGTTTTTGGTATATTCTAGAATGAAGTCAACTCCGACAGTCTAGAATCGGTATTTGTAGTGCATCGGCATTCGATACGTGCCCCTACGTATTTTCCTGCCGGAGACCCGTATCTTAACAGAGATAACTACCCGCGCGGCGCCGGCTATCTTACTAAAAAGGGCGTAATTGCGTGCGGATCAATCGGTAAATGTTCCCCTATTTTCTCGAAGTTTTTAACTACAAAATGTCAATCTAAGGTAATTGGCCTTCGTTAGAGATTAGGCTGGTGGTGCACCCTTTAAGCGCCGTAGGGATCATCGAAGGTTTCTCAAACTAATAGCGCTTAAAAACCAGTCGCACATGGATGACTGTCGATAGTCAATGGCCCTTTTGCGATTTATGAAAGTACTTTCGTTTTTCTTCTACTGTTTTTCAGTTATTGTACTAGGTTTGTAGAATACCACTCGCTACTTTTCGATGAACGCTACCGTTCGCGGTATATAATTGAATTTTATCTCGTTCGGGATTTGTTACTAGGCAACCATGAATGAAAAGCGCGCTAAATTTTATTATCGCTTCATAATTCATAATATAAATCGATTTGTGTAGACACCTAGAAATTGATCTACATTAGTACAATGTGCAGCTGTCAACAACAACAACTCTCTTTTCTTGCGTTTTTATTTAGCCAACGTTTGGTCTTCGTGGTACCCTGAACATATACATGGATTAGACCACACAGCTGTATTTGTGCGCTCATCTGAATCGCCACGATGTCATCAGACTGCGCAAGCCATTTTGTCTGCCTTATTTAGTACTCAAGAGACCATTTACCCAGTTCCAGTGTATGGGCCTCCTCCTGGATTTGACAACTACATTTCTGTGGTAGGATATGGTAAAAACATCAACAACGTGCTAAGAAGCCATTACCAAGTACGTAAGCAGCGCATTCATCTTGTTTCAAATGGCATAGCTTAAGTAGTTTTGCCTCGATTTCGACTAATTGATGCCCCACGTCAAAAACTCATTTTCAAGAAGAACAGCTTCTGAGATATTGAATATTGTTTGACAAATGATACCTAGTGCGACAGAAGTGTCAAAGAAATTCTGGGTATACCCTAAACGATGCAAGATCTAGTGTAGAGCGAACAGTTATTGCATAGCCGTGATATAACATTCTTTGCTTAATAACGAAAATATTTCATAGTCCGGGCCTTTTTTTTTTTTATTATAAATCAAATACGCAGTATAACGTATCTGCAAACAGCTGAACGGTTGTAAACGGCAATTTAACGATAGCTTAAGTTTACACCGCGCCTAGAGATGACCTTATTACCTTCACTTTTCTCGGAGTATTTGTGAAGTGACGGTTATATTTCTACTATGCCACTTACTTGACTTAAATTTATTTTTAGGTCGTTCTAAAGCACAACAGTGTTTTAATAAATAAACTGATTCATCCTACTTGCTTTCACTCGCCTCAGTGAGCCAGCAACGGCGTAATGCCATATTACTGGAAAGCTATGTTACGCGTTCTTTAAACCAAGATTTCAATTGTGATAGGACGGGCTACTTGAAAAAGATACGAACCATTCATTCATCCTTACGGCCTAATGAGGTCTAACTTGTTTTCCACTCTCCTTCTCATAACGCTCTAATACATCGTTCTTTAATTGGAACCATTTCGCTACCATGAGACATACGTAAATCAATCTTTCTACCATCATATGTTCTTGTTGACTCAGGCCGTAGGAGAGGTTTACATCTCACAATAAAATATGAGGTAATGATAATTAGAAACCGAATTAAGCAGATGAATATCTGAACATGAACGTGAGGCCAGTTCGAACATCCACCTTACCTGCTTAAAGTGAAGCTTTGCACAGATGTGTAAATGTGAAATATAATAGTCACAATTTTTGTTGAACGGCATTTGTCTGTTACACGCGGTATCGTAGGGCAACTGGTTACGGCCGCACCTTGCTTAATATCGAAACGCGTTTCTATTTTGTGAGGCGTGTACTATATTCCGAATATATTCGTGAGCTGCCTGATCCTTGTATTTGAAAAGCTTCAAAGTGAAACGAAACCTTCTTTTATTTTGTTTGTGATAGGATTCCGTTTCACAGCCAAATACGCTGGGTGCGGTAACATTTGGCGACGTAATAGAGGCTGTAAAAGACGTTATGACCGTTCCAGCACCACTCGAATACGAAGTGTTCACTTTCCTCGATGGTGAGTGTAACATTAGGAACTTACCATATATTCACCATATCACCAGTTCAATTGATCAAGTTAAAACAGGCGCCATTCAATTATCTGCGGTTTAATTTCCAAAGGTTAAATGGAGGTATTTTATAAAACGTAGGGTACTATGTACATTTACCAACATCTTGTATACTTAACTAAGAATTAGAATTTGGCATTTGCATAAATATGTATCTATATCACTTCATTCTGAAACGAGTTGAGTTGCGCTAATAACATACGGATAAATCTGAGTGAGACAATTAGTATCTAATCTGTGATAGCGACTACTATCGATGATCTTTCCGATTGTATGAAAACACTCGCGAAAGAGCTGCAGCCGGAAATAGGATCTCAACTGTACTTTCCATGTTATATTTAGGTATAGTGTCGAACATGTACGAGGATCATCCAATCCCAGATTTCTGGACGCGCAACGAACGTATCCTAACGGAAGTATATGAGAAGCTGTATGCCCTTGTAATAGAACAGTATAGACCGTACTATGGTGGGCATCTGTTGAGGGGTATAGCACAGCGAATGAAGCAAGTATTCAATAGTAAGTATGATGTAGTATGTGTCGCCAGAAAATTTAAATTTAATATATATATATATATATATATATATATATAGAGAGAGAGAGAGAGAGAGAGGGGGAGAGAGAGACTAATTAATGCTCATATAAAGGGCTTTGAAATTTATTACTCATACTTTTGTAAAATTTACATACATCTTATTCACAGTGATATCCACAAACTAATAGAATACTCAATTTTTTATTTTTTAGAGGAGCTTTCAAGTGGCACACGGTGGTGTGACTATTCCTTTCATGACTTCTCTTTGACAGCGATTTATCACGCACTAGAGGGAGAAATCAACCTTCCCAAGCCTCATTTCCTTGCTGCAATCTTTTTTGAGCTTCGAACGGCCAATGATGGTTAGTGAGAGATAATGTGATGATTCGAATGATTCACTATAGCCTAGATTTCTCTATCAGACCCATATCTTTAAAGCAGCCATAAAACGGCGCTAAGTCACGCTGGAATCGTTTGCTTCGTACTTAATTTTGCTGGGCTTAATACATATTGCCATTGAAATCATTTAAAAATCATTAAAAACCCACTTTGCTACTTTGGTTGCGAAACTTCTTAGGAAGTCATTGGGTCGAGGTCTACCACAGCCATGGGATAGCTCCAGACGGCAGCTACAGCCCCAGAGAGCCAATGCGCATGCGTTGGAACGGCGGATCTCATCGCGTCATATTTGAGAAAATCTTCGAGAAGATGTACAATAACGTTTATATCGACAAGCTTCTAGGGGCAAATGGCAAGAAACGCAACCACGAAGAAAATGGAATATTTTGAAGTACAATCATAAACATTTTCCACCTCAAATGCCACGTCAATTTGTTATACGCGACTTCCGATTGCGATTGTGATGCACCGCTGTGGAACTATTGTTGCTTAGCGTAGCAAATCCATTATAAAGAAAACGCTTTTAAAAATCTACGACATCAACTAAAGTATAGATAGGTTGTGTGACATTACGGAGAAGCTTGCAGTGTCGTTCGCTCATATATCGAGACACCTATTCGCAATAAACGATCAGTATATTATATATATATATATATATCAAAGCAATTAGCAGGCTATTCTAGCTACTATCGTTACCTATAAACATCTTATCGCGTCCTTTATCGGAGCTATCAAAAAAGGTCCAACTAGCCAAAGAACCGAAAAACTATTCACTGAAGGCTAATTTAATCAACTGCCAAAAATAAAGGCGCAGAAATTCTTAGGCCAAAAGCCTACCGGTCACAGAAAATTACACTAAAACGATTATTGTACGCAGATAATTTAGGAAGCAATGCAGTATACACGGATACACAGACAGACATAAACTTTTGGCAATACAACATAGATGGGAAAATGGTTACCAAATATATAGGACTGTACTCTTTGAAGAAGTTGTTTAACTATAATTGTCAACCTCGTCGTCGTATCTAAACCAGACGACAAATTTACACAGGCAATCGAACCAGCCTAGATTGTTGTTGTGTGGTCATCTGTAACCAGCAGTTGGCTAGTGGTAACCCTGATCTGCTGCGCCACCGACACCTGCCAATTTCAAATGTAAAACACTCCTGCAACACAAAACAACATAGACTATATTTACAACTGTTGGCTCTATTGGTATTGTATTCGTAGCGCATGAATACGTTTATATGAGGAGCGCGCACCTGTGACATCAAGACCATTGAATAAAAATATAGTTAATACGGATCGCCTTTGGGAAAACTGCATATATATTGTGAATTCGAGAAAAACAATTGGAAAAAGAGAATGCATGTGGTTGTTACAACTGCAGTATTAACAGTATATATATATATATATATATATATATATATATATATATATATATATATATAAAGCATGATTGTGGATATTATAGATATTTTCGTTTTTTTTTTCGGGGGTAAGGGTGGTGGAGCTATATGAAGAATGAAAATTTGCGTAATGAGACGTTGAGAGCAACCGTCACCACGGGACTATATATATATATATATATATATATATAGTGGTAGCAGTGCATTCTTCAAAATTTCTACTCTTAGAAGACTAATAGGGCTTCTAGCGATTTTTTCTTGAGGAAACGCTAATCAAAAGCACGTTCACTGTTGACCTATATAGTCATTAGGTTTTAGATCGAAGCTCATGATTCGTCTACGATAAAGCAAAATTTTGTGTGGCACATTATTCTATTTTATACCGAACGTAAGAAGAAGCTGTAACAATGAATAGGTTAACAAATCATACTGTAGTAAGTCAAGCTACGCTTACTATCTATAATTGTTGAATAACGAATTAGCCACGATTAATCCATAATCTCAGCGTATAATGACGCAGTCATCACAGTTCTTTGAGAAAGGACATACGGCATATGGTTGATATACACGACATATGGCACAAGGAATATGAAACTACAATTCATTTATCTGAACTCCATTATGTATATATATATATATATATACGCGGCTATATTCACAAAAGTAATTATGGCATAATGTGCAGTAATTACTATTACGCATCGCCACATACAATATGTTGTCATCATTTCTATAAAATATTTCTCCGGAATTTGCACACTAAATTTTCAATTTCTTTTCCCGCTTCTTCTCAAGCTTTTAACAATCGTACCTGAGATAATTATGGTATTGATAGAAACTTGAAAAAGAACAGAAGACTCATAACATATGTAAAGCTATTCAATTTTTATTTTAGGTTTAAGCAGTAGGAAGGTATTGACACAACAATGTACTGACGCGGAGGCATTTACTTATTTGGAAGTTGTAATTTGGTGCTTCGTATATATTAAAATTGACCTTAGTGGGCCCTCCATATTTGCCTGTGGCAGGTATTTACAAATCTGTGTGGTCTTACGTATAAACGAATTCTTGCATATAACTTATGCTACTAACTTAATATCATATTTTGTACTGACAGTGATAAGGTTACTCGACGACAATAGTTTCTTCACAGTATATGATTTGCAAGACATGAAAAACACGGCACTGTGATTTGTTTGAAAAACGAAAAAGAAAATATTTACTTAGGTGGTCCTCAGAGAGATTCCATTGGAGGTTCGACGGTTGTTATCAAAAAAAGATAAGCTTTCAGGGTGAAATATCGAGGTAGCCTCATAAATCCATAAGTAAAATAAAAACAATATTTGCGATAACAATCATATTTTCTATATCTTTTACACGGCAATATAGGATCTTTGCCAGCCTCCTCAACTGCACTAACACCCACTAAATTCCCACTCACACTTTACCTTGTTCCATGTTTCCATTTTTTAGAACTATTTTTAGTATTTGATTAGGACCTGAGAGTGATATTCACAGTTCCCACGTTATGCGATGAAATCGCTCACATCAAAATGGAAGCGAATCGTTTTACATTACTTGTAGTAATAATTATCACAAACATAAATAAAAGCTTTGGTTTTGTATAATTCTCATGCCTTCGCCCCGACGTTAGCAATCAACGCACAGTTGGTTCTTTTTTTCAAGCTTTTTATTAAAATAGAAGTTTTTAACGCCCCTTAGTTGGGTTCAGTTTATAACACTATACAAATATAGAACTGATGCATTTCAAAGCCTAGGCATAATTTACTATATGTATTCAAATAAGTGTTTCAGGAGTTGATAATTAAGGTTAGATAGATTCAATAAATGGTCTCAACAGTAAGCGCTTTTTTATCCTTGTACGCAATTTATATTATGGCATAATCGAAAACATATCTCTTATGTGCTTGATTAAAAAGTTCCTTCATATATGAGCTTTTCTTCGACTCAAGCCCGGAACTGTCCCAAGTATCAACTCAGGGCTTCCTAAAAATGAAAAAAATTCGTTAATAATAATAATACTAGGTAGAAACCGAGTGAAATTTCTGGCAATTCCCTCGCAGCTATATGTGGTCATTATCACAATGGTTAAAAAAGACATAAATAAGCAGGATATAAATAAAAAGGACATAAGCAAATAAATAAAAAGGCAACATTTACAGAAATTTAAAAAAATAATGGCTTGATGTGCTGTAAGAATGAAAAGGAAAACGAATGAACTTCACTAGGGTAAATATAACCAAGCGTCATTCACTCTGCATAGTTTTAAAAAGATGCTCCAAGAAAATCGAATTTGCGCTAGGTCACTTGTCCCTCAGGAGTGAGCAGAACCGATGATACCACGTAATTATAGTACAAATAATTGCATAATTTACCATCTGCATTCAGTTTATCTGAGTGTCATTTAATGCTTTCTTTACAATAAGAAATTTTGCAGAATGAGCTACGTTGAAGGTTGTGTTAAGAAAGATGCTTTCTAAGTAGCCAGAAATGTATTACAATATGAAAACAACAGAAATTCTCTAGCCAGAAGAGACCCCATTCAAAGCAAAGGTCCTGTATAAAGCAGTAATGAATTATTTTGCGACTAGCGACATCAATTAGATCGTTCCGGTTTGTTCTGATTGTACCACCTCCTAATGATTTTAACAATTATTAGAAAAACTGTTTTGCTATTCAAATAAAATTGAAAACTTTTATATTAAGATTCCTGTAATGTTATTTTTTAACTATTAGTCGGTAATCGCGTTTCGTTCAGTTGGCCATCAGATACCTCAAAAGTTATGATTGTCCATTCGATAGATCTTTGACAAGTGAGATAAAATAGATTCGTAGAGATGCATTATTTTACATAATCTAATAAAATTCAAACGTTGGTTTTCCGTCCACGCGCGTAATCCTTTGTTATAGAAGACAGACTATTACAGAAGAATATGGATAATGATAATAAGAATAACAAAGAATAAACTAAAATACCAGGGAAAATTGCACAGTAATTGTGGAGGCGGAACTGGAAATGAACATAAAGTCACATTTAATGAAGTGACACTGTTCTTTTAAATAAAATTTAATTTATATTAAATGACATTTTCGGTTAAAAAAGTGTATTTTCACTTTCGAAAATGCTTTTTTGACTTCCAGATATCCTTAGTTTTTATCAACATAAGAGTGTGGACGAGTAAATCTCCTACCGAAAGGGCTAGCTATAGGTGGTTAAGACCTGACCTACAACATATAACTACTTTTTGTGTCATAATATGAAAAAAAAAGTTGAACAAAGCTTATTCCCTTTAACCGCATAGAAATGTAGATCTTTAGATGGCTGTTCTGGTTCTCCCGAAAAGGACATTTATGCCGCCGTCACAAAGAGGCCGTGTTCTATTGGGTAACAATACCTACTGACATAACAACCATACGATTGAATAGTGGGGTGAAGTCCACATACATGTCAGTTCTGTACTTTGAATTTATCCCTGCGAACGTGGTTCTTTCGTTTCGGTCGCCATCCTGCCATATAGATAGAACTAGATGACTGATTTTGCGATCTATCCTTGAGCACATTCAGGTGCTTATTTCATCTTTAACTCTAGTTTTCTTTCTCATAAAAATCCGGCGTGCGCTAGTTTTGTTCATAATGAATACTACTGATATTGTTATCCATTCGCCTGTATTATTTGTACATAGTGTGACAAAATGTAGCAGGTAAACAGCAGTCAATTCTGCGGAGTTGTCAAAAGTTGACTACAAGTTTTACATATTAGCCTGAATCAGTGGGTGACCCAGGTTAAGCCAGACTCACATGCGCGATCATTTAGTAGCACATTACTTACTAGAACAACGACTTGATGATTTTATAGACGACACTCTTAACATGGCCAAAACCCTTCCATTAACAAAAACTAAATGCTTAGAGAAATCGTACCAGTACATATAAAGCTTTATGTTTGAGAAATTCAGAATTTTTTAGATAAACTCCAAAAATCGAGTTTTTCGCGATGAATTTCGCAGACTTTATCAACATTGTTTTGTTAATACTAAAACAAAAAAAGAATTCCAAATTTTTGACTAAATTACGTCTAATTGAATGAACAAGTCGTACCGAATGAAATATGATTAATCTGTGGGTATTCAAATACTTTTTTTTATTAAACGTGTTTTTCATCAAATAGATTTTGAAGTCATATAGTGAAAAAAATGGAAACATGTGTATCTGTTTGCGTTTATTGAGTAGAAGTGTATATTATAAACTTAAATTTCCACGTTGAGAAATCAATCGATGATCATCGACAATTTTCTGCGTGAAGGATTGTCTTTTCGAACTTGTAAAAATTAATTAATAGATACACCGCCTTGAAGACGAGCTATAGAACTGTATTATGATTTTCTAGCGTTTCGTGAAGAAGGAGCTGGATGGACAAATAAAAACCAAAACTTTATATCAGTTTTAGAGGTATTGAAGTTTAGCTCAGAATTGAACTATGAATACGCGAAAACACACGGACATACGCAAAACCTAAATTTGAAAAGAGAAGTCGAATAATATATAAGGCAGACGTTGTCGTATCGTTCTGTTCATACTTTGGAGTATTTAGAGTCGGCTATAGTGTAAGTTTACTTTTAATATCTGATTCAAACCGCATTTTAATACGTTCCAAACGGAAAAGTTATATGCCCCTCCCTATGAGAATCTTCCGTATGAGTTGGATGGAAAAGTTCCATAGAGTGGCTTGTGCGTTCTCCCTGCCGCCAATCGATGATTTCTTGTGGCAACCTTAAGGTTTAGTCTATGCCAGAAAACCGATGCTGCTATGAAACTTAAAAACCACAACTGTATAACGCCAAGCGAAATATTTGTTGAAGTTTATGAAGCAATAACCGGCCGTTACCAACAGTCTATTAACCAGCCCCGTAGTAATTTTGAATATCTGCGGAACATAATACATTTTATAAGGATTCTATTGCAATTTGAAATGTAATTATGTATATATAACAACTAAAAGTAGCAATCGTTCAAGCTGTACATACGTTTTTTTGAAACACCCTGTATTCAATTACGGAAACAATTGATATCAGTATAAATTTAATAACAACTAATGTGTCTTCTTCTAGTAATTTGCCCTTCTGACGAGTACAAAACGGTTTTAAGACTGTTTCATGTTATATGTTGAGAGATTTTGTAACTTTATCGAAACGGCGCTCGTAATTTTCTAGATTAAGCGCAGTACCGAAATTGAAATTTCCGCTTATTCTGAAAATCGATTACCGATTCAGTAACAAGAAAAATAAAATATGAGTAATAAAAGAAAGCTGAATAAAAAAAAGAAACTAAAATCACATTCGGATAAGAATATCACAACTTACTGCGTTTTTTTTATTTTTGTTTCAACAATACAGTGTATTTGTAGATTAGTCTAATCTTTCTGTCATTTTAGTCATACTACTGGTGAAGTCCGGCCTTGCATCGAGTCATTTTTAGGGCGTACAGTTGATATACATAAGTAAATGTTTTGAGTTTAACATCCAGAACTACGTTAGTGTTGCATAAGACGCTTTACCCCAAACATCAAACATACATAATGTTTAGGTTTGTGATAAGATCCGAATCCAGTATGCCTAACATGTTCAACATGAAGTTTGGTAGGTTCACTATTATGATCCATTGACGTGTCCTAATGTTTGATTTGTGTTATAACCGTTACTTGCATTAAAAATATTACTATTATCTCCTTCGCGTAGTCAACTGACGTGTCACACATCTAGTGGACAATAAACAATAATAAGACGAAGGATGAAAGCTGGATGAACTAACGATGCGAAAAACCTTGACATAATACCTAACAGCCGGAAGTCCAGATATATATAATATTATTTGTTACCAATAGATAAGTAATTTTTCACTACCAGAGGTTGCTGTGAAACTCTGTATTGCCATAAAAGCAACTAGTTTAATTAGGCAGTACCACTAACGATCGTCATAAGTAATCTTAAAGCACTGGAACGCACATACCGAAATTTCAGTTTCACGACCAGAAATCCCTTAGAACGCAAAATATGCCAAGCAAACAAGCTTAGCAAGAAAAAGTACCGATTACACAGCGCTGGTAATAAGTAATTATTAAAAAAGACTTGAACTTTTCGGCGGTGTCAAATAAGGACGTTTTCATACTTTACTTTGAAGTGACCGGGCTACGGTACCATAAGATACACATATATTTTTTGAATCGGCAAGATTAAATAATGATGGTGCTTAGGGCAGTATGCGTCTATATTCGTCTATAAAGAGCATAAGAAATGCGCTTTATTACTTTAACACAACTAGCAATTTAACAATGAGTGACATTAATAATTAATTAGGCAAATATGAATTAAATATTTGATAAACTGAATCAAATATTTGTCAACGTTGGATAACACAGACTTCGCCGTGCGTTTGAGTTCTATTACAGTCGTTCGCACACCGAAGCCCTAACAGTGATCTTCGATCCTGCAAACAACGGCGATCCTGCTTCAACTACTTCGGAGATGAAATCATATATACATACAAGTATGGGCGAAAAATCTAAATTGAGCTCAATATTTCCTACAATTCATCAAAAAAGGCAATGTTTGTTAACAAAAATTGTCCAAACGTCATATAAATCACACATTTAAGCATTAAGGGATAAGATGGTTGTGTATAGAAGGACTTTGGCATATAACGCGGTAATAAATAGTACTAAAAACATCTAATGTCAGGATACTGTTAAAATATGGACTTGCTTCGAATGATTTTTTTCCTACTTCCACTGATCTTTTCTGAGGAAAGGCAATTACTTGTAACGTACTATGCAACCAAATGTCTTGAGTACAGTAAAATGTGTCATGATAGATTGCAGCCATAATTAGGCTAAATATGATGATAGTAAGATGAATATTCCACGCTTGAAACACATGAATCAATTCCTCAAGTATTCATCAGTGGATTGGTGATAAGTGAGCCAGAAACACCGCTTATTTCCCATGATTCGTATAGGAAATTGCGATTGGATCGGCAGTCCGGTCCACATTTAGTGTTTTCACAGCGACGGCACGGGAAGAAACAGCCAGGACACTGCATGTTTAAGCAGTCGCATAGATCAAGCCCGGAACGCGAATGAACGCCTCGACCGTCGTACATCTGCATTGAGATGGCCGCCATAAAATACAGGAAATAAAGGAAATATAATCAACTAGTCTACTAAAAACGCAGTGCTGCCCTTTTTCAATGGCAACAAAGATCGGTCAGTCAGCCGCAGCAATCGCTGGGTAATTGCTGATACCTCAGCAATGTTTGCGCCACAATCAGATCTTATAAGAGAGACTGGGTGCGTTTTCGTACTACTTTTCGTTGATACTGTACCATACTCATAATAATAAGAACTGATAAAGTAATTCGTTGCCACAACAGCGACTGTTCCATTGTTTCTAATAATGTGCTTCATAGCTGTCTAACTGTGACTTTACCTTTCCCTTGTCAGGCTTATTAGTCGTGCTTATGCTGCCTGTAGCGACGGATCCGCTTTGGTTATTTGCGTGGTTTGCTGTATCTTCCGAGCCCCTACGGCGTACAGTGCGCCGTTGAGTGTTGAGCTCAGGAAGTGGCCTCCCCATCACGTTTGAGCTCATATGAAGCTTAGTCAGTAACCTGTATGAGGTTCACGTTACCGACAAACCCAGATGAGTTAACGGGAAGCATTCAAAAAGCCATAATAGAAAAATGAGCGCATTGTACTAGTAAAAAACTATTGACTTACTTTATTCTTTAATATTACACATGGAAGCAAAAGGCATCTAGGGGTCAAATGCAGATCTCTGCCTTGGCATACTTAGCTTTTTCCAAAAATTCCCGCGCGCCTTATTGCATTGTTCAGCTTCTAGATAACTTTTTTACCCTTATTTGCATTAGATTTTATTCTCTTGCTTATTAAATAGATGCAAAATAATATCTTTTAAACTGTTCGGAGATTTGTGCCCCACCTTGTATATATATATATATATATATATATATATATATATATATATATATATATATATATATATCGCTATATTTATTCGCTTTAGACTTTTTGCAACAAATAATATGCGACAAAAATTTAAAAAAGTGAATTATATTGCTTACAATAACGTTACGCTATGTTTGTTTAGTCAAAAACCGCTGTAATCAAAAAGTCGTTCACGTTGTCGTTATTGCTTGCTTATCCTTCCAGTTTAACTACAGATTAATATTTGTTTTACATGGTAGATGTTAAAAAAATTCCTTTCGAGTATAATTATGCTAGCCACTTTTTTCCACATTGACATACATATATTGTTATGTACAAAAAATATCTTCAGAATCTTTATTCCACTTGCTAAATGGGATTAAAAGAAGAAGGCAGAAGTCAGTACGTGTAGCTAAACAGTAGTCTTTAAAATATAGAAAACAAAAAAATTTACATTAGTAAAGTTCTGAACGTTATACCAAATACAGCTTACCAGCTATAGCAAAAAGGCACCAGAACAAGTGATAGCTAAGCGATAGCTTTTCTATAAAACTAATACAGTCATAAGATTTACAAAATTGAACTTTCAGATACATGGGAATTTCAGGTCAACTTAAATGTACTGCGCTATTGTAGTACTAGTGTATAACAGTAACAATAATAGCAATAATATTTTCTTTGATATAGCCCAGGAACACTTTCCTTTTCGTTTATTGAACAGTAACGCGAATTTTACTAGAGTTTCTATAAAGTGTACTTGTAATATATGCCCTAACGCGATGCTGTGTCTGCGAATACCACTATGTATTTTTGCATATGTTTTTTTCGTTTCCTTAGAATCCCGTAAAGCGTGGTTACCTGGTAAACCGCTTTGGTGTCTCAGTGTCCGCTCAATGTCTCGGATGACCCGGAAGTATTCTCTTGAGTAGCTGATGATTCCGAGATTTCATTTGACACCTCGTCTTTTTGACCTTTTCAGGCGTCATTCTTAATACTATTGCGTGGTCCCATTTACAGAAGGGCGCAACCAAACAGGAATGTTTAGTACACTTGTTGGAATAAACACCACACAGTCACGAGATGCGCCAGTTACCAACCCATATTACCTTGTCTGACCGTTACTTTTGTGTTACATAAAAGACGCTTCCAGGTGATTCTTCGGTGAACTTGGAGCCACTAAATTGATAATAGATAATAATAAAAGATTGATAATATTCAAACGATTAACATGATACTGTGTTCTGAGAAAACGTTACAGCGCGCGAAGCCAACTCGAAATTTGTTTGAGTTTTTAATGAAGACGATGATCTTTACTCGTCTGATCTGCTACGCGGTACTATGATGGAGGCTATTCGTAACTGCATCAGGTTTTTCCAAGTTATCGTATGTGTATAAAAATTATAAATGAAAAGTCCAGAGTATAAATAATACTGTCGCTGCGAATATAATTAATTGTGCGCTATAACAATTTTGTGAAAGTCCAAAGGTTATCGAGAATGTACGGTAGTCATGAACATATGTTGAGGCAGCGATTCTACCATATTATTACACTCGCAGCCTTTGAGCTCGGTTCAGCGCCATTTTTCGCTAACGCGTATTCGATTGTGGAATATGTTCATAGTTTTTTCAAAGCGTCGTAAGTGCCTGGGCTTCATGAAAGTTTTTTGAAATACGCTCGCCACCTCATCTAGGTGTTTTGTCTTTGCTTACAAAATAACAAGCGAACTATCCTAGGAAGTGCTATTGAGTTATTTTGTATGACGTTTATTGATCATACAATTTGTTCTATAAAGAGACAAATGGAAGCAAGGGGTAATCGTATCATTTTAAGCATGCATCTCTAATGCCCGAGATTAGCTGAATTAGTCATGATACCTGTATCTTTTTTTACATTCGCAATCATAAATAGGCGAAAATTCAGAACAGTATTTATCTATAGGATACCGTAATGAGTTACGAAACTAATGTATATCAGAGGACAAACAAACAAAGAACTTTTTTGATTCTTATAAATTGTGAGATTTTTTGTGGCATAGCAAATCTTGGTTAACTTTAACAATATGAACGTGTAGTGCGAAACTTCTAAATGGATACTACAGTGCATTCTTCTCAGCCAAATTCTCCTCGAATAAATGTTAGTCTGAGTCCGTTGTATCCATCAGCTCGCGTATTGATAATGCTTTTGATTAATGTTTACATCTAGCCCAATAATTTCACCAAGCAGAATACAAGCCTAGACCTTAATGGTTTCCAAAAACCTCTACCAATAATGGTTTGCTATAAACGTCCATTAGCTTCCATTTAATTCAGTTCGATTTAAATTTGTCTTATTACTAGTGTATGAAAAGTCCTTTATTTTACGAAATAATCCTTTATATTCATTGTCAATGTTGTGCCTTGCGTTATCTCTCGTTAGACACCAGCGTAGACTTTTGTCAGCTGTATTCTGACTGCGGCGTGATAACGCTTGACTGCTGACTGCGATGCCGGAGTTAACGTGATAGCCCAAGTAATCTAAAAAATTGAATCGTTTTATCTCAGGATATAAGATGACCCCAGCTAAAGTTTAGTCTATTAGTTGTGAAATTTTCTGAAAATTTCTAACGATTATATAAATAAAACATCTAAAAGAATTTTTGACACATTTGATAAGTTCCTACATAGCTCCCTTTCCCCACTCCTCCGTATTGCACTTCCGCTACCTCCTACGGCTCCGCTCTTGCGCTCCCCACGTGATGCTACCCTTCAGTCGAATGTAGTTTTCGTTTTGCCTCCCACTTTCATTATATTTATCGATTGTTCTTTCCCATCACATATCCGGTAAGCTGGTCGGGTAACATCGAATTAACTTCCAGTTCAGACTGCGCATTGAGGTATAATTATAGAATATACTTCAACAGAATATGAACTTTTGCAACAAATAGAACGCAAATCTACAACTGTGAGGTGGCGAGCGCGGTTTATTCATTAAAGACGATTCCTACGTTTGTTTAAGTACGGTTTGTATACTTTAATAAATCGATGCTTCGTACAAGGATTACTTTACAAATTGAGTGTCTGTCAGGATATTTTGCAACTAACCACGATAAAAATGAACAAAAGGAACACATTTTGTGGAAGGGTTTAGTCCTGATTCTTTGGACAAAGTTGAAAAAATTCTAGTAGACTGGTTTTAAATTCAGTTGGCAGAATTCCAACTTATGCCATCTAATGTTCATTATCATAAGTGGTAGATAATTATTTAATTAAAGACAGATTAATTCGATATTAAAGTAAATCAGGCCTCATGGCTATCGCATTCGATCGGAGACATCAGGGATACATCCTTGCTAACTAGGCTTTGTTGCTGATGACCATAAGCATATGACTGCTTTATGTGAACAGTGCCTGCAGTCTTTTTATTTTTACCCTGTCCATCGAAAATCGAGTAACGAAACAGTTGTAGCTTCTGATTACAAGCTAACCGAAACAAATCTATGAACATGTGTTTCACTTCTAAATAATGATTTCTAGTAATAATCCATCTAATTCTCACATTTAGCTTTGCCAAATACAGTTATCTTTGCATGTTGTTGCATGTACTCAAGAATATTCCCTGTGCGCCTTCATAACATTGGAGTATTAGATAACGCACCGAAAGACAATTGCCCTTTATTTAGGATATTTTCGATGCGCAAACAAAGTAATGTAAGAAGATTAATTCAAACAAAATGCCTAATACTTAGGTCCCGATAGCGCTGTTTCCTTCACATTTTTCTTAGAAAATCTTGATCACATATCTAAATTTGTTAGTAATCACAGATAATTTTTTGTTTCAAAAGGACAATTATCTAGCACAATTTAAAGTATACATCTCAACGATCCAGCTTATGTGTTCGAGTCTATGGCCCTTTTCGTATGGGCTAAGGTAGAACACGAAACATAGATGTCCTTGTTTACTGTATTTTGGCTCTGTGATCTTCAAATTTTTTAAGCTGGATAAAAATATCATCAGTCAGATAAGACTGTGCGCGAATCACAGACGGAACACGGAGCCTTTTAGGAACATTCATTTCTTTCTATACTGTATTTCGCGTATTGTTTTTTTGTGGACCGTAGCCCTCGTAGAGACGAGCCGGCGTGCAGTTTTCGTTGATAGCATTGTTCCCTTTTCGGAAGGTTTGTTTCACACTAAGATGCCTTATTTATGATATTATGTAAGAAATGTCGGTTTGCTGGTATCAATACAATTTGCTTAACAAAAGCTAGCAGTAGTTCGTCGACGGCTTCACACGTTTTGTTGAACCAATGTTAATGTTACTAGTGATATTAAGTGTTAAGTCTTCCGACAATTGTAAACCACAATTCTTTATGCAGCTCCCTTGCTGGACTGCGCTTCGCGTATGGACAATATAACCTGTTTCCAAGTACGCCTATGCTGATGTATAAGGCCGTCGACTAGTCCATTAAAAAAAAATTTCGTCACAAACGTTTTATTCAGATTTCTATGTAGTCGAGCTCTTTAAAGCGATCAAAGCCTCTTTTACTAATTCTATTGGCCTGTCTCCGTCTGCTAATGGAAGCTCTTATTAGCTAGTGAACACGGGATGGTATTGACAGGACATCGCCAAATCTCAAATACTTGGACGTGAATATGTTAGGATGTCAGAACACATGTTCGGCAGAACCCGCGCTATTTTAACAATAGCACACATCAAACTCGATGTGATCTTATTGTGTGAACGAATTGCGGTACCTTGGGCCACGCATCAACGGCCCTAACTCAAAAAAATCGAGATGCCCGCGACGGATACATATCGAATCCACTTCAAACAGGTTTCCAGGACAAGCATTTACTTTGCTATCTGTTATAGAAGTAATATATAGTTCAAGACTCAATCACCCACCTGCCATGTCATAGATCTCTAAATTCTTTATCAGAATAACAACATGTCCCATATCGGTCACCTATCAATACGCTATATGACAAAACTGTGAAATGACAATAAACAGTACATTGAGAAAAGTATATTTTTCCTGAATGGCGATTCGGCATGCGGATTTGATTATATTTCCGTATTAGCTAGCTAGTAAAGTTCAACTACATTAATCGTTCGTTCTTTTCTTTTTTGTTTTTATCATCTTTTTTGATTACCCAGGCCATGACGACAGCGACCGCCACTAAGCGCCTAGCAGCGGGCCAGCACATTGTTCGCTAGGCGTCAATATTGATGCCAGCGTGGCAACTACCACGCGAGCAGCGGGAGCCACGGGGCAGCCCGCATGTTCCTTAACGTATTCAGTTGCCGCGCGTGGCGAGACTAAGAATGCCCAGCCTTGGAATGAATTGCGGCTGTAGAGTTGTCTTGGCCGCAGTTGCCACTGCACCATGGCTCCTGACGGCAACTGTTCCTCTACTTACTTCAGCGGCATTTTTATACGCATGATTCTTCAGTGCTTAGGATAACCTGAATATTCTACGCGGGAAATTTAAATCTGACAAGCGTTTTTTGGGGTATCAACGAAGAGCTTTAAAGATCTTATTTTACTCGAACTCCCCTTCACATTGTCAACCGGACGCACGACTTTTCGCGAAGTACGCCACAGCCGTTCGGGGTACGTAATAGACTTGCTGCTAGGATAGGTGTACAAATGATTCACTATTAGTAACCTATAGATTACTTCTTACTTTTTTTTATTTTATTTTTTTTAGAGAACTGTTACTATTTTAGAGAATAGTAACATATATATGTCTTTATCAGCGAACAGATTTTCCTATAGGCGTATCTTTGTTAAAAAAAAATGGAGAAGTAATTGGAGCCCTATATCGTCTAAGCCGACAGACACTTTGACGCAGATCTAAATTGTTACCACTTTGAATAGTCATAGAAACACGAATAACTATAAACACAGTTAACCTTTAGACTAAGATAGAACTGACTGGAAGCAGAGCATTATGACAAAGATATTTTAACAAAACTCAATTTGATTAACTTCCCCGATTTCAGTCCAAATAACTGGATAGCCATTGCCCGACCTTAAACATCAATGTTTCAATCGTCACAAAAAAAACCTATTAGTCTACAAGTGGTCACATAGCTGAGTCGAAAATTTGTTAACTAGCTTGCAGTCTGACTATGAAAATTTACCAGTGAACACTTAATTCAATGGAGGTCCAAAAGTGTTTATTTAAATACAATTCAAGTCAATGGGATTGTTTGTGTTTATAGGTAGGCCAGATGTCGAGCTTGTGATAAGCGAATTCTACAACCACAATCGTAATAAATCATGCGCAAAAAACTGGGCATCAAGCCACAATCGCATATTGATGACGATGAATTTCATATGTGTATTCTGTTAGACACCTTACGCATACAAACTATAATTGGTTCGCCAATTGAGCTTGTATTTTGAAATACAGAATAAGTTCTACACGCACAGCGCACGCATAGGCGTAGGCTATGCTTTCACGTCTTTAGAATGTTAATGCAAATCGGATCTCACGTTGAGCAGATTATACGACTTGAATGTGGCTGACGCTTCAGAATCCTTGGCAAGGTACGTATAAATATATTAAATTAAACAATATTAAGGGATACTTGACAGTCTCTAAGACTATCCATGATATAGCATGTAAACTACAAATTTAATTGGTCAAATATTGAGGCACTCCTAACATTAAAATCTTTGTTCAAATTCTATTTATATTCGAAAAACAAATTGTTGGTTTCCTGTTAAAGACTAAAACTGCTAAAACCTGTATAGGGCCGCCAATTGTGGCTTGAAATATACTCAAACGGTTTGGACCTAACAGAATACCAATGACTTCGGCGGACAAATTAAGGTTTGTTTGACGCGTTTTCTGGTTATTATAAATTCAGTACAGTTCTCGTTTTCGCTTGGAAGAGATTCATGCGAGCATCGTATTGTAATCATTAATTTTATGTGCTATTTGAAAGACTAGTCTTTTCGATAATTCAGAGTTAAAGGTATGGTACAATCGATGTGTGCAGCTATCCTTGTTTTTCTCCGGTGTAAGCATATACGACTTTTTATTCCATAAGAAATTATAAGACATGGAGCGTAACAAAATGCAAAACAAGTTCAAGCTGAATAAACTCTATCAAAAGGTCTTTTGTCAGAAATATAGCTTATTAAGCAACGCGTGTGCGTCACTTGGGTGACGTACCTCAATACAATGAGCCAATCTCATTAGCTAGATTCCACATACAGTATAGGGCACGCTTAATCATGCCAGCCTTTTTTTCTAATCAATTTATGCAAACCTACTTAATAAGCAAGTAAGTCATACAAATAAATTACGATTCCAACATTATTACGCAACTATATGAATAAACATTAAGCCCGTCAGCAGCTCTATGTAGGTCATTCAGGAGTTCACACATTCAGGAGTTTCAAATCAGGATAGTTTTGAACGCATCCAGTAGTACTATACAGGTACAACGAACCTACATCTAAAACGTCCAGCTATGCATAGACGAAACAACATCATACAGACAAGATAGTGCATATTTTTTTTATACTAGTTCATTTTTTATACTAGTTCATGCAAAAAAAAAACAACCAAGGTAGACAAGTAGATTTTTTATTGTAATAGCTCTACGATCAAATAGAAAAATCTTCATTATCCAATCACGCGTAAATGGTATACTATATGCCGACGGCAAAACGTAAACGGGCGAACTGTGCTGTCCGTCCCACTATGTTTCGAATTTTACATCCGGTATCACAGTAAGGCATTTCATCACACGGCTCCGAGTGCGAAAAGAGGTGTGACCACGCCCGGATTCCAACCTAGACCGCAACGTAAAATTAGCAGGCAAATACTTTCCCCATTAAGGTACCACGGGTATCACGAGGACCTGTGCTATCACCTCAGGTCGACTGATTCACTAAAACTAATCTGGGTCTACCAGAGCTGGCTGAGCCGCGAATGCAATCAATTATTACTAGCTTTTGTAGCTTTGGAATCGTCTGCTAATCATGTCCGTTAGCGAAGCTATTTCTCGTTCGATGTATCGAAAACATCTCTGGCTAGGCCATTATGGACACTTTGTTCTTATGGTCTGCGTCTCTTTCGAAGCACGTCTCGTGTCCCCGAGGATGCTGATTATCAGCTGTTCATTATTCTGACGCATCCTTGTTGCTATCAGCAGCATAGTAGCAACTTCAACCCGATTTGTTCAGCAGCCGTTCGACTGTGGCCTATGATACGAGTCGGTGGCGCTACTGTGTAATTTCTTCCCACAGCCAGCACGTTTAGCAGCTTTGGCAGAATTCTCTCACCCGCCTTACGCGTTCGAGACGTCGTACGGAGTGATCCACCAGAGCGGTGCGGATGTCTCGTTGAGTGCGACTTTGTTTAAAGCAGTAGCGATTGCAGGCAACAATTTCCGCAGCGCCTTGGCAGCTCTCTGTTGAAGAGCGCAACTGGAAAGATGTCTGCTGGAACCGATGGCGCCTTAAGTTATACAATTATCCACTAAGTTTTACCGCATCGTTTGTCTAGTGTCTGTCTTGTTTCTATCTCCTCGATACAAATGAGACTATGGAGGTAAGCTTATGTGTATAACGCAGTGATGGTGGTTGCAGTCAGTGTAATTAAAACAGCTTGTTATCATTGTTTTACTTATAATATGAGAAAAATAGATAAATACTACTCATGAAACAAAAAAACTGATAGATTATGATGTTGCAACATTGACTTTTTACAAAAGCGGTATTTTTTTAACCGAATGTTTATGTGAGTTGTGAACGAAAGCGTATTTGTGTAGTATATATATACATATCTATATCAAAAATATATAGTGTTCCGCTTTAGGTATAATCATGCTGTCGATGAAGGAATATGCGATAGGGACATGTCGGATTTGTTTAAAGAGCGCACCGAGATGCGCGCTTGATCTGTAAACTAGCATTTAATTAAAAAGTCGTCTTCATTTATTGACTGACATTTACTATAGCTCTGAAGGAACCGAGACGTTAAATATTCATTGACATAACTGCCTGTGTGCATGTCCGACATATAAAGCCGCCGTTAATGATTTATTCTTGGACAGGCGAAGAGGGACTAACGTAGTGATTACTCGAATACTGCTAAAAAAAGTTTACTAGTATGGAGATTTTATCATTTTGGCTCATTGACAGTCTCAATTGCACGCATCGATTTACGTAAAATAGAAAATTATCTATTTCGTTGCTATCAATCAAAATTTAATATAGCCAGTTCAATTCCAATTTGTTGAAACTTTTTTTCTAAAATTTAATATGTTAAATATATTGGATATTCTGATATCGCACAGATTGAAGCATACATCCCCTTTTTGGTGCATGTCTGGGTTAAGCTCGTGCTCGTGCTCTTTGTATCTAAATTTCGCTCAAGTCTAAGATATTTTGCGTCTAGCTTGTGGTAGAAAGCCACCCTATTTTCCTGATCTATAATTTCCGACTTGTCGAAACATCCTGTAAGCTCCTTCTAGCAACAAGACAGATTTTGTTCTTTCTCTATCGACTGCTTAGTCTTTTGTTAAATTATTGTTTCAGTGGAGAAAGTTTCACCCTCTAAAAGCGGTACCTTTTTAGAAAGTAATTATTGCAACCTTTTTTCTTTTCTGCTTTACCTCGAATCCTATCGTGCCTAATTCCTATCGCAAACCAACTGTTATCGTTTTTAGTTACGACGAGGAAATCGTTGGACCCTATCGCCGTGGGCCCAGTTCCGGTTGGCCATTGTCGGGCTGTTTGCACTGATCTTAGCACTGCTAAGTTCGCGCGTGAAATCGGCATCGAGTTCCGGCTCAGTCTTGTATGATGCAGCTGATCCATTAAACATCATTGACGGCACTGAAAACTTCTATCGTGAATTGCGCTCCCATGGACGCCTGGCGTATATGGCTCAATTTTACAATAGCTGGTGCGGCCATTGTATTCGATATGCCCCGATCTTCAAGGAATACGCAAATGATGTTAGAGGTAGGTAATTGAATTATGGGCGATGCCAGTTGTTATACATTACAAAATGATCCATTCGTCATTATTAGCAAACATGTCGAAACCAAAAGGAACCTTCACTGCGTCGTGGAAAAGCTCCCAAAAGACTTGTTAAATTAAACAAACTAAGTCCGATATTTTGAGATTCTAACCGAATTTGTCGTAACATATAGCTTGAAGAATATATCAAGTTTGGCTTGAACGCGGGCCCAAGAAACTATTTTGTAACGTACCCAAACTACCTAAGTTAAAGAAGCTTTCCGTAGTGCGATTTTCGTCTCACGTATATATGCTTCGATTTTAACTTTCGAAATCACTGTTAGGCATTACAACAGACGTTGCTCTGCCAGCGTAAACATTTTTCCTTTAACGTACACGCGATATGTCTTTCCCAAGTTTACAAGCAAACAAATTATAGTTATACATTTACAAAAAGAGATTTCTCATTTTAATCATGACATCAATGTGACGTCTAACGCTATCGCCATTCTGAGAGACAGCGTCAAGCTCTTCAACAGCAAACCATCAACTTAACGGGTAATACTATGCGCGTTAAAAAATTAGAGATTTTTTTCGTTTCGAGATTAGATTCAACAGACTAACAAGCTGCTTGAATCTTAGATATTGATACACCTGCGCTGTCGCCCCCGCTATGATCGCCTCATCCATCTGCATCGTACTTGAATACTGCATGTCGCAAATTATTTAAATTAGCAATTAATGTGGGCTAAAAGCAAAACAACAGACGGTTCGTGTATGATATAATTTTCTTTACTGATATAATGACTGTAAATTTGCCTCCGAAGAAAGCGCTTCTGGTTTGATGTATATTAGCCAGGATTCTCTGGGGCTATCTACAAGCGAAATTTACAGTTCTTTGTATCGATGTGCAATCCAGGTGAACGGTAAACTCAATTGTAGTGTCACTAGAGTCTCCAGCCACGGTAATCGCACAAAGAAGCAATTCTAATTATCACTCAGTCTACTGTCTCAATTTAGTGTCTCGGAGCTTTTCAAAATCATCAAATTAATAAAACAAGTTCGGCACTACTCGGTAGGAAAACCAAGTCAATGTTGGAACTTAACAAGCTGGTTTCCCTTAAACAAACAAAGCCAGGCCGGTTTTCGTAAGGAATCTAACTAGTTTCCAGTCAGAGAACGCAGTTTATATAAAATGTATATGAGCTGTATTTTTTGGGCACATTTTTGCACAAATGCGGCGCAGTGCTTACTTTTATTATTTTGCATAAGCACGCTTACTTTGGTGTTTAACTGGTGCTGTTTAAGAAGATTCATACATAGGAAAAGCCTTGGTGAGACATTTTACTTGACTCATTTTAATATCCCCTTGAAAAAGCGATTTTTTTTTAAATGTATTTTAAAAAAAGCAGTAACTAGTTTTTGTACCCAGTCTGTTCTTGCTTGCATTCATACTGTTTTCTCTTCTTGCAGCATGGCAATCTGCTGTAGATATCGGTGTGATTAACTGCGCAGCGAAATCGAACATCGATGTCTGTCGAGAACAACAAATTACCGCTTACCCGTCCATTAAGGTTTGTTTTTTAAGCAAAATAATAACTGACAACGGTGTCATTATTAAGATAGGTTCGCGTACTACATATGTCTATGGCAATAGGTTTGTATCATGCTTCTTTATGGTTGTCCCACGTTTATCTATGATATTTTCGATGATTCAAACGTATACTACACTGTTTCCACTTCTTAATTGGACTGTTCTTCTTGTTTATCCTAAAAATTAATTATATAGCTTCAGTTTCAATCAGTGTTAAAAATGTATTACCCGGTAATGATTTCCTAACGTTTATTTAAAGATCTATGTGTTGTTCATGCGTCTCCGTAGATGTACTGGTTACCACAGATGACTGACAAACTGGGTGAGAAAATTGAAGCTGATAGGGATGCTTCAGTTCTGCGGAAGCACGTTATTGACTTCGTGGAAAAGAAAATTAAGGAGCATGGAGCTCCGAAGATGCTAACCAGTTTAGAACCTTCCAGGTAGCCATTTCACAAGCATATTTCACAATACTTACTTCTTAAAATGGTACATTTTTACTGAATAGTATTCTCAGAAAATTTCTGGAAAAGCACTAAGATCGTTGTGGACAACTGGAGGAACGGTTAATACTAGAAAAAAAAAAGTATATTTACTTCTTCGTGTGCAGTCACAGCTGTAAACTACCTAGTGCAAAGGAATTTCAACTGTAATATTTGACGTATATATAATGTTTTCATTTAAGTTATTTTATGGAAAATTTTACAGAGCTACCACTCTAGAGGAGATGTGGGCTTCACAAGCCTCAAACCTACCACAGCTCCTGGCTGTTGTCGAAGAGGAAAGTTCCTATACTGGACGAGAACTCATACTCGATTTCAGCAATAACACTCGTGTAAGTATTAATTCATTGTCAGTTAAGTCAGGTGGTTTTCTCACACGGGCATCTTGTAAATGTTTCTTGTTGGAAGCAGTACCAATCATAGTATGTTCCAAATTGAAACCCGTATCGCTTTTGAGAATCGATCTTCGGTCTCGAACAAAAGAGTTAATTTTGACTAATCGAAGTTATGTATTAATAGCACGCATCATCAAATTTACAGCAGCCAATAATGTCAATCTAATAGGCCAGATTTTAAATACAAATAATAAGCAACGTAAATGACTTGACGAAAGAATACGACATTATCATGAGATTTTAAAGTTCTATACAGTAAATTAAATTAATTTCATATATGGATGTAGATACTATTCCGCTGCAATGCAGAAATCCGTTAGCGAAAAAATGATTGGAACATTTTCTAAAAAAACAAAAATAATTTCATTTTGCCAGTTTTTTGAGAATGGTTGAGAGTGCATGAAGTTTTTCATAGATCTGTGAAGTAAGAACGGTGTCTCGTTTTTTCATTGTAGGAAAAAATTGTCCGTTTTATCCGTGGCACCGGTCCTGAGGAAATAAGGAATAAAGACGCTACATCGCTGTTATTGATAGAGAGAGGAATCCATCCTAGGCTGATTGCAACGTGAGTACGTCTAATGCGACTTGACTTAAATTGATTAGATTACCTATCTTTGCATAGCACACCCGTATAAGATTGACCCAGGTATAGAAAGCATGACACATTGTAGTGTCATTTTTATCTCACACAGTTCTGATAATTACCAATTATCTAATCTAGTCAATGTGGACGAAGAAAAAAACTATTATGGAGAATGAAGAAGCGAACGCCTGCTCGTTTGCCTAGCAGTATTATAACAGGCGAATTTGAGCAATAGATTATTTGTAACAATTTGATTCCCAGGGTAGCTGATAATTCGAATGCGCGAGAGGAGTTTAAGGTCCGACTAATGGAAATGGGCTTCAAGTTCGAACGTCTAAATTACAACAATTACTCGGAACGCACGTCTACTGTGGCTTCGCGTGTTGGCGATCCGGATAAGGTTATATATTCTACACACATGCGAAGCTGGCGAATACGTTTATTTACATTTTCTGAACTCATATATAAATTGTATATTCTGTATAGTCGTCAGCGTAATAGCTTGCTTCGCCAGCGAGACTGGGATTCTCCTATTATTTTAGGGGCACATTGCTTTGCATTGATAGAGTGAAATATCGAAATCAAGAAGTAGACCCTCCGCTCACAGGCTCAGTTGGCATGAACGAAATTATTGAGCTGTCTGTTTAAAAAGTGTTTAAAGGGTTGTAGCAATTAATAGTGCATACACTCATGTTTCTTGAACTGCATTTATTTATGATTTCAGTGCGTCAAGTTACTCCCTATCGATTACTTGTGGGTCGAAAGAGATACTCACTTTGGGATTCTGCGAGAGACACCCAAATGTCGTACAGTAAAAGCAATGAATATTCATACAATTGCAAGTATTTTTCATTGCTACTTTCTGCCATCAACAGGTGTATCTTGAAGACGTCGAAGCTGGGCTGACGCGTATCCTAAATCAAGATCTAATGCTTCACACTGAATTTGATGAGAAGAAGCTGGTCATCATAAGGAACTTTATTCAGGTAAGTAGAGTCCGTAGACCGAAAGAACCACGAAGCAACGACCGTCACGGAAGATTAGGAAAGTGCAGTAAATTTATCCTCACAGGATTGCCTAACTGTAGGTGAAGAGCTTATCACAACAATAGACAAAATTTCTAGATGGTTAACAAACGAAGGTCGCGTAATAAGAATGCAAATGATGAAAACACACAGCAAAAAGAAGAAATAGCCAAGGTATTGTTCATTAATTGCAATATATATAATAGTTATACTATGGCATATATTTCAGGCTATCCACGACAATGTGTTTCTACCATACCGAATTAAGACATATCTCCAAAAGCTTAACCATCATCTCGACGTGTCTGCGCCTCTCAAGAACGCAGATTATCAACTTATCTTGAGAGAAGCGAATTCCTCTACGGCATACTTACGAACAATAGAGAATGTCAATTTTATCGGATGCAAAGGTCAGACATTTAGTGGCAGATAATATATAGGAAATATAAAGAATGATAAAATTTTTCTGTTAAAGACATTAATTCATCAGCTTTACAAGCAGCGGCTTGATTTCCACTGGTGCAAGCTTTAGGAATCAAATATAGGTGAAGTAAATTGACAACACATGATCGTCATAGCCTTACTGTGACAGCGTTGATTATGAAAATATCAAGTAATAGCCTCAGCAGAATTTACATCCGTTTCGTTCAGGTTATCTAGACTGGCAATAAAAGTTGGCCTTATTAGCAATAGCGAAGCGACTTTTTTCATATCAAACGCAAACTGGCAATTCTACGGTATGCATTGGATTTTTTTTTTTTTTTCATTCCTTAATACAACTACGGTGTTCTATCATGGCTAGTAAATGTCTGATTTACAGGAAGCAAGCCATTTCTACGAGGGTTCCCCTGCTCCATGTGGACTATCAGCCATCTAATGACTGTGGGAAGTTACTCTCGATATGTTCAGCACGAAATCGCCCATCCAGAACGTGCACTACTTATATTCCGAGATTTCATTGTGAACTTCTTCAGCTGTGAAGACTGCAGAACGCACTTTTTGGAAATGGCTAAAGACCTCGGTTTGTATCAATGTACACTATACAAGGTGAACTTCTATAAATATTCAGTGAAACACAGTAGGACGAGGCTCCTGGCTATCTTTCGGTCGAAAGTAGGTGTGAATTAGCCTTTCAATTGACACTGATTTTGCAACCAAAAGACATAGCAGTATGATTCGCCCACCCCCTAATAGAACTTACGTTACTTTATTTTCAGAAAATGAGCTCAAAACCCCAGATGAGACAGTTCTTTGGCTTTGGCGCGCGCACAACAAAGTCAACAAAAGGCTCGCGGTAATTTTTCCCAGTGATCCGTTTTGACGCGATATATTTATTTAATTCGTATTTTTTTTTAAATTAGAAGCACTCCCTATGATAATCGAGTTTTCACACAGTGGTGTCCCATTTCTTGAGCCACTGGAAGTTGAGCATGCGCGTCCACAAGCGACATTTTCCTTTTAAAAACTAGTTTAAGGTCTTCCTGCAACAATATGTGTAATCTCTTGTTATTAGGATTATTTTCCCTAAAACTATATCTTCTTCTCCCTCATGTTTTCATATGCTTTGAATAATGCTACATTTTCATTTCGTCCCAGGGAGACCCAACAGAAGATCCCGCCAGGCCGAAGGTCCAGTTCCCACCGTCGACCCTTTGCGCCGACTGCTTCGATTCGAATAATAATTTCATCGAGTAAGCTATTAGTTAGGGAATCCTTTTGAAGATGATTTTGCTTTATTTTTTTCACACAGTTTTATCACTTTATTTTGAATACAACTCAGCACACCTTAAGCTTGAACGATGATATCTCAGATCCAAGATCTGGCAGATCTAAGCTCTGTAAGCTAGATATCCCTTTACATACAGACGTATTTTAGCTAAACGAGGCAGTTTTACTCATGTTCATTTTGTAAATGAAAAACACTTGTATCAGAGACCCTGGCGTCTCTTTGTGCATAGCTGTTCCTTGTCTCACTTAACTGCTCACATGGCCCCGCTCGCTCTATCTAGGTCGAACGTGTTGAAGTTTCTTCAAAATCACTACGATTCAACAAAACTTGTTCGGACGGTATCAGAAGGTACCCCGACTGCCATTAGCCTCCAACAGGAAGCCACTGACAATAATTCAGCCAATGCCAGGTACCATGCGTTTATTAAGACGTTAAATTTATTAAAATAGATGGTCGTCGAAATGTTGGTGGTCGGAAAAAGGAACTCTAATTGCGAACTAGTGTTTCATGAAAAAAAACATTCAACTTTTATCACCGTGGAGCGATGTTAAATATGATATCTACCCAGAAGAGCCTTATAGCAACTTGAAATGAATATTTCAATATGTCTCCATTACATTGGAATATTTTTAGACTATAACTGTCAAACTCCCATGGAACCGTCGTCCATAAGGCAATAAGCAATTTACCATATCGTTTGTTTTATGTATGGCCGGTTGCTAAGTAGGTTCTTGCTCGACCAAAATGCAAGGATAGCCGCCGAAATTGAATAGCTACGATGTAATACGAAGTGTAATCGAGAAGAATCAAAGGAAAATCTCGGACAGCTGATATGAGCCTTGCGCAGCAAATCTAACGTGTTCCATGTAAAAGAATTTTTATTGGACATCTTGTGATTTTCTAGGACAGTACTTGCCAAATACAGGCGTTTTACCGCAAACATCAAGTATCTTTTTTGAGAAATTGGATGTTGGAGTAATCACCGAAGCTGCCGCAACCCACTCCTCTAATCTCTGCATAGATCCTCTATGAATTAGTGCATTGTCGATCTCTAACTTTCTGCGTCAGGGATGCAATTCAAGGTCGCTTATTGCACGGGTGGCTTGTTCTTTGTTTGGATATCTTTTTTTCATCATTTTTAGAACAGCTAACCACATAGCTCTTCAAACTTTACGTATATATATATATATTTTTGGACTCAACCTATACCAGTAAGTTGATGTAAATGTGAAGCTTTAAAACATTCCAATCCAGGAGTTTACGTTTTCTCGTATCTTTTTTTTTTTATCATATATCCAAATTCAAAGCTGACCAATCTGCCGTTGATAGAGAGGTGATTAAGTTCGATAAATTTTACAACTCATTCTTCCGCAAAGTTATTGTGCTGTGACCGCTTTGCTTTTATTTATTAACAAATACGTTTTTAAGCACTTTCAACCAGTTGATGGGCCATGAATAATTCACAATGATAACAAATGAAAATATCTATATCTGTGTCTTTCTCATCTCTACCTTTTTCAGGTTATTCTCAGGATTTGACGTAACAATTTTTTTGGTAATCTACGCTGTTTCTATCACTCTTCTATTCGGGGTTTTCGTCGCGGTTGTCTTTCGCCGTAGGAAGAGTGGCCTTAGCAAGTCTCTTTTCCATTTTAACTGAAGTCGATGCACGATCTAATCGGCATATAATTACATAGGTTTAGCGTTTACATCTAACTTACTTCAGTTACACTGATGCATACACTTGCGTCTCACATCCTTCATATGGAGAACTATCTATCATCGAAATGCTTATACATCCATGAACATCGAATAATGACTTCTGTTCAATAACTCAATATCCGACACAACAGCTGAGACATACATCAGGTTGGCCACTGTAGGCTTGTCTTACACGGGATGTCTGGTAAGCTTCTGGCCTGAGTGAACCATGTGGATTAATGTTGGTCTTTGGTTTTTTTTTTAAGAACTTCATATTTTTTCGAAAGAAGCATTTTGCTTACGATACTTCATGCTGAAGATCATTAAAGAGGTACATGTTATTTATTTAGTTAAATCGAGGGATCAGATTAAGTCAGCGGCAGAATATCTTAAACAGTGGTTAGAACGCCTAGAGATCTACAGCAATTATTTTTCTTGAAATACCGTTATGTTGGTCTATCCAGATTATTTCGTAAATCGTATATGTGCAGTTTTACAAAGGACGACGTCCTCTCATTTATATGCTCTACCTTTGATCTACGGCAAACTTTACAAACGAATGTTCAAAATTGAACTGGATGAGATTTGTCACGTCGTTCGTCAACCAGACCAGATTTGCTCGTCATGTTATGCCAATATAGTATCTGTAAAGGAGAGAGTGTCAACTTTATTAACCAACAACAGCACTAACAGATCCGAATATTACCAGTATCTTTCAAACTGTGATATATCTTTTCAAAATAGATATACATAAATCACACACATTTTTGTGTGCTCACATTTTAACAAAACGACTATATCTAGCAAAGTTCCCAAATGGAATAAAAGCCAGTTCTTGACTTTTTTCTTCATAGTATAATTATCTATAATTCCCTGTAACCTTTACGGCTTCAACGTTGTACCTCACTCGGCCCCGAACTTTATTTAGTCTGTTTGCGCAGTTCCGCCGGCAGATACCACGGTAGCGAATGCTTCTAGAGCATAAGAATAGATACACCAAAGCGAAAATAGTGCCGGTCCTTACAATAGAATCTTAATAGAGGGTCGACTGTTGCTGGGAAGATGTAGGGGAAAGCACGATGTTTTCACAGTTACCAAACTGCTTGCAATTAATTTTTTTTATCCTGTTTTCTTTTTGTTCCCGTGACAATTGTTCATGAGCACACGGAACGAATAGTCTTTTTTACGAACTAACCCGAACTAACTAAAAGTGCACCCGGTAATGCTAAAGGGAGACAATTGCCTTTCATATATATTTCGTGTACGCGGGCGAGTATACAGGGCTCCACAGTTCGGCAATTATTTTGTACAATCAATAGCTAAAATAGTATTATATCAAGAGTAGAGCAGCAAGTCGGCTGTGTAAGCGCAAGTGGTTATATAATGCGTATTTAGTATATGCATAGTCGACTCCTTGTGATGGAGATATACATGTATATATATTATGGTGGTGATAATAAATAATGAGTAGTATTTTCTATAAGGATAGCACTATTTGTTGCTGTTTTTTTTATAATCATCGATTTTTATTTATTGCGCATGCTAAATTATAGGTCAGGATACGGCGATTATGCCATGCGACCTGTAAATGTTTAATACAATATTAGTCATTTAGGTGTATTGAAATCAGAGAAAATGAGCTGCTTCATAAGATACGTCTATGCAAAAGATGTGGACCATTATTTGTTTCCAACGTCTAAGAGCTCTTATCCTAAATCAACGATCTTTCTGTGTGCAAGATAGATAATCGGTTGTTTGTCTTCAGATTTAATCTTCAGGTCAGAACTCTGTTTTCCTTAACTTCAAATAGGACCTAGATTTAGACTGATGATCCTACGATTTCATTCCATACAATGGCTCATTATCTTTCAAACAGCGAATTTACGGTTTAAGCAGAAATAGCAAATTAGTGGAAAAGTAGTTACTTATGTTTAAAAGAAAAGTTTCCAAAAAGACACGTAAGGATTAGTAAAATATGTTTACAGTTCTACAAGAACAGTGCAAAAAATAACTATTCAGAATGATCTAACAATATCCATCCATCCATCGTAAGTAGTGCCTAGCTAGAAGGCATCAGGTTTTTTACCAAGGACATATTTGCACGACTGCGTTTCGACAGCTGTGAGCGAATGTACTCTATACGTACGGAGAGCTTTAGAAAGCAGGCATTGCCACCCCAAAAGCTAATTTGACTATAACAGCTGGAGGCGACGATTGAACCTATTATTTCTTCCAATGTAAGCTATGTTCGACGAAACGAAAGCATACAAAGGTGCATCATTTCAATAAGCCAATATAACACCCATTTCGAACCATTTGTCATCGTTTATGGGACTTTGAATAATCAGTGGGGATTTCGCCGTTGACTCTTAGCCTCTGGGCCCTTTATAGACCTGAACCGTCAGGTATTGATATGGGGTCACGCAGAGAGTGTCCACACTTGTTTCTCGCTGAAATTCGCGGAAGTTAGGCTTGCATTTTAGAGTGTCATGGCTATCTGGTCTGTAGGTATTACCGGCCTTATGCAGATTTATTTTTTAAGATACCTTTAGGTCGCAGGGTTAAATGTTGTCATAGTCAGATTTGATTAACTTTGAAATTTAAACCATCAACAGCTGTTTGTTTAATGTTACCATAAAAACGTATTCAAAGTGATGCATGCTAACCACCTGCTGAAATCAAACATACCTGATTAACAAGAACACAGGTTAACAGGGACGATCGAATATTTCGAAAACAATTGTCCTACTAAGAAAAGAAAATGTATACTAAATAACACAATTCAGCTAAAATTTAAAATATTTTAGTGTAGCGTATGGGATATCACCGATAATGTAATATGTATATGCATGTGCCTTTAATTTCTCTGTAACGTGTTTCAAGATGCGTCGCATCACTTGGGTTGAACCAGTTACAAGAGCCGGTAAACTTACATAGTCTTTCAAATTTGTGAGTGTATTAACCTGTGAATAGTGAACAGGTAAGTGTAATTGCGGCTTATAAATTAGATTTTTTCATCTACGTCATAATCTTAAAATATTCACAAAATAATACCTACATTATGGAGTGGTCACATTGATGGGAAATGCCTGACGCCAAGCTTTTCGACCCACTTTGTATTGGTGAAACTTCCAGGGTTAAAATGTGTTACTCTGTCCCTATTTCCTATGTATTTGTTTGCCATGAGGTAGCGTGGGGCGTGCGAGCAACATAGAGTTGTTACCATAATTAAGATCGGTAGTGGATCGGTGCTTAAAATTTTAGACAACGATGTTCCAATCGATGACTCAAAGATTATCGGCGAACTCCGGATGCTCGTCATTCTTACATTCGTCCTGCAGCTTCGACAGAATAAGGATCCGTCAAAACGTGACGAGTCTTGGAAGTTGAGGTATGTTATTTTTTTGATGTTATAAGGCGTTAGTTTATCGTACGATTTGTATGGACACATTCAGTCGCGATGTTTCAAAATATCAAATAATGTTTGACACGGTCTTCGTCGCTCTTGTAAAAGCTTCAGTCTTATCTGTGCGAAGTCTCGGTTCATTGCTTACTCCTTAGAAATGAAGGGTTCTTCCTAGTTCTGAACACATTGTTGTGTTGGAAATGTTTCTGTGAAAGCGTCGATTTATTTGGCAGAATTAGTTCAGCTAAATAGCATTGCTCATGGATTGGGATGACTTTCATTGGGTAGTGGTTTGTTGGCATCGCGTGGACTTAACCCAGCTAAGTTTGTGGGTACTCGTGTAAATTACCTTTTTTTTTTACTGACGGTAGCTTCGACGTGGTCGTGACACTTATCCTCAGAAATGAAACTTTTTTCTGCCGTTTTGCCTCCATGCCAACCTATATCATAAACGCTCTAATTAAAATGCGTCGCTTTTTAATGTGCCTTTTTTTTCTGAACTTATTAAGCCGCTTACATTATCTCGACCCTCACTGGTGCTGTTTTTATATGAGGTATACAGGAAGCATTTTTAACTGGACGAAAACGTATATTCTAAGAAGAACTATACCGTAATCGTTTCGAAGTAGTTTAGAAGACGCTAAACTTACCTAAATTCTATTATGAGAACGCGTATGCTCAAAATAGGTGAGATTAGAATAGGTTTTTGCAAAATATGTATTATATTCCGTAAGCAACTTGAAAAAGGTTGTTGATACGATTTCTCTACTAATACTAATGATAGAGTATGCTGCTGGGATTTTATGTAGACATTATCCAAGTAAGAAGAAAAGATTGTTTGTACTATAATAGTGTCTTCCGGTCCACAACTCACTGTCCGATTTCAGACTAAAAAGACGTGAGTGTTTTTTTACTCATAGTTGTTCGTCTGTACGTAACATTTCAACTGGAACACGTCCCGCACTTTGTGGCTTGGCCACTCGTGGAGCAGCCGTAGGTGATGGGATGGACATTTAGCAGGTTGACCGAATTCGTTCCCGTCATCCTGCTTTGTTTTGCCGTAGGATTCATTTCAGAGCTAAATTCAATTGATTCGCACGTAACCGCCATCGGGGACGCACTCTCGTCGCAGCATCATGTCCGAGTTCTGTACGGGAGGAATGATCTGCATCAAATGTTCAGTGAAATCAACGATGTCGATATGGTGTTATTCTTCGTACGCTGGTGCTCTCATTGTCAGAAATACGTGCCTAAACTAATAAGGTTCGCCGAGGATATTCAAGGTTCGTGTGCTCTGATAGCAATAACCGTTTGCTTTATCAGGTTGGCACCTCAAAAGCATCATTAAATTAGCTCAACTGCAGCTTTATTGTCCATCGGTTTCAAGTAGCTTGTTTAACAGATAACTGATTTAATGTTAGATCGTTTCGAGCAAAAGCAATGATTCGAAGCGAGCTCAACGGATTTTAGAATTTTTTTTTCGCCATATGGACGCGAGTCGTTTAAGATGCTTGTTATAATTGTATAAGTCGATAGTTGACGAGCTAATGAAATGACGTTTGTAACGATCAGCAGAAATTACAAAAAAAGGTTCGAAAATATCGTTGAGTTTTACAAAAACACTAGCACAGATAAGATGTATGCACGTGGCTAAATGCTGTTGTTATATCTCGTGCTGGTATACCATTGAACTAAGTCGTCAGCATGCTTTCAAGTGACTAACGTAAGCCAGATCAAGAGATACGTATCGTAACGGTCGAAATATATAAGCAGATGTTATGATATCTTAGTCGAGCAGTGAGGTTGGCAGGTAGAGAAGTTCACTTCCCGATTACGCAAACTGGCCGAGATACGCTTCGGAATTGCAATAATTTTCGTTGACAAATCTAATAAAAACTTCAAAGAAATTGATTTTTTTTCGGTGATAAAGCGATTACTATCGCAATTGAAATGTCAATACTTGTATGTTATAGGCATATGTGGTGGAAAACGATTCCGCCACACGTTGATCTTCGCAAGTATCCTGAATACATCATTTGTGACTATACGTATGACATAGTTTGCTGGAAATTTCATAGGAGTTATGGACAGAAGGTCACTGAATGTTTTGAATTTATGATCCAATTGCTTTTGGAACTGGTCAACGGAAAGTCAGGTAGAATACAGCTGATGACGAGCGAGTTTAGAACTAGTACTCTATGATTTCCTGCCAAATTGTGTACGCTCAGGTACGTCGTGGTCGCAATGAAATTTCTGAAGATCTGTAGCTGTATATAGTGACACTTGACAAATGAAGTCGGCATTTCACGAAGTTTTTTAATGTATAGTTATCTAGGAATCACCAAAATTGGGTTAGTCGATGTGGTCTGCTGCCTATATTGCCATTTGTGAGAATCTTTTCTACTAAAATTCCACGCCAGCCAACGAATACTCGAGTTACCTGCTTAAACAGCGTTTGATGAGCGTATTTAGTATTCTTTTTTCCATGAACATTTTTAGGATGGTGGCCAGTTCTTCATATAGGTGCAATGGATTGTTACGACAACGCAGAGACCTGCTCGGAGTATGGGGTCAACGCATACCCTGAAATGAAGGTTTTTCGTTTATATTGTAATCAATCTTGAATGAGCCAAAGGTTGTCGTTATTCAATATAGCGATTTTGGTCTGCATTGTATGTGGAAACTGATTTTCTAACCTCGATTACTATACTACTATAACTAAATGAGGTTTGCATGCATAGGGGGGGGGGGGGGAAGAATCAACAAAATTAATCTTATTCAGAGTCACTCCGAGTCGAATCGGATACCACACTTTGTTTTTCCTCTTATATCTCGATCAACGAATGGTTCTATTTCAATTTGCTTCTTTAAATAGCCACTGAAACACCATATTTTCTAGTTAATGAATTACAATACTCGACTCAGCATCGTACATGTTTCATGCGGCTTCCATACACGTCATAGAAGTCAATTGGATCGTATGTTACTTGTAGATCCTTTCATTGAAATTTTGATCAGCCAACTTTACGTATTTATGCACTGTACATTAATGAGGCAAATGAAGGAGAGAGCTGAGACGTCTTTCGAATTAGGCTCCTGAGTTAAAACACAGATTGACCGGTAATCCAGTACTCGAAGATCAATGCAATCCGATTCGACTCAGTTTCCTAAACGAAGCTGCTGTACATTGCGCATTGTCTTGCGCTATAGCTGTTCTGGAAAGCGGGCGATGCGCCTAGAAGTCCGGAGGGCGAGTCCGTCAATAGCTCGACTGACCCGTTGTTACGTGCTGAAATCATAGACTTCATCGAGAAACATATCAAACTCGGTGTACCTTCAAGGAATCTGCCCGATTTGAACCCAAGCAGGTACGTAATTTTATGTCACATCATACCGCTCAGATTGAGAACAAATTGTGCCATTACGTCTAATTACCACAATATAACTTTATAATGATCGTTGAAAATATAAATCATCCATAAAAAAGATCATTATAAACAGTCGTATCAAGGCATACTGGAATAATTGTAAATTTACAATATCCTGAACTTTCTGTCGTATATTCGATTAGCTAAACCATCTATTCGTTAAAAGGGGCACAATAAAGAAAGGTACATAAAAACTTACTATAAATCAAGCAAGACACGATCAAGAGGCATACACATAAAGTATTTATTGCAAGATAATCGTACTTGTCGATCAACAGGTCTTTTCGATAGTAGTAAATTGGTGGACAGAACTAGTACTCTATGATATAGAATAGGTGTCTGTTCATAATTTTGGGTGAAGACCAACTTTTCCCAGAAAAAGAAGATAAAATAGTAAGTTACCCAGTTCTGTGGGAGACAAACTGAGGTTTGGTTTAGTTACAATTCTAAAAGCTTGTTGAGATTGTTAAACGATGTTTGTCACCCTAAGATTGTAACTTATCCTATTGTAACTTCTCGTTTTCCTATTTGTTTGGAAAAACATGGTACTATTTAAATACATATTATGTAAAAGCAATTCACTCACGCAAAAGGAAAAATTGCACAAAAAAGTAGTTTTGGATCCTTTGTTGAATTCCAAATAAGGTTGCGTATTTTGGAATTGCTCTTGTGCTATGTGACTATAGTTATTTCTTGATTCCAGCGCTAAATGTGTGAGTGATCTATGGCTTTCGATGCCATCCAACGTCAAGAAGATACTTGCCGTTATAGAGCCGAAATTATCGTACGTTGGCATAGAGCTCATACTCGACCTCAGTGGATTTAATAGCGTAAGTCGACTGTCAGATGATTAAGTTTATCCATAAGGCAAAGCCAACTTGTCAAGCCATCCTGCCTGGGTTTTTCATGTTCATAAAGGTTCCATTCTTCGTTCCTACAGGCTGAAGATCTACTTCCGGTCCGTATATATATATATATATATAATATATATATATTTACGGGTAGAATTTACATGCGTATATTTTTAATCCTTTGAATTATTTTCAAAGAAAGTGAATGCGACCACTATCAGACATCATCGTCTCCTTAATTTGATGCATTTTCAACATTAGTGAAGTATCTGCATTGTCTTCTTTGATCAATTATTAGCGTAAGGGACCATTTCACAAACGCAGGATTAGCGCTTAAGAATTATGCCTAGAGATAATAATATCGTATATTGCGTTCAGGTAAGGGGCATTCGTTTCATTGTTGGTGTCACGCCGGCTGAACTAAAGAGTATCAGGGCAACCTCGTTGGTCCTTCTAGAAAGAGCGCAAGAGCAACGATTACTTGTGTAAGTTTAACGGATATCTTAAGCCCTAGTTATGATTTTGGCCCGTGCACCTAAGCTTGACTATAGGCCCCTAGAATGTCTGAATAGAAATGGTCTTTGATTCATGAGTATAGAGTCGTTTGAAGATTATCTTCAGTCAAATTTCAGTTGGATTAGCAACTGTGTACTAATAGACGGAGGATGCACCCGGGTACCTATAAAAACACATACTTACCATCGAATATCAAATAGGAACTGTTTTTATACAGGACGGTCAAGAATACCACTGAAGCACGTGAGATGTTCAAGAGCCAGCTAGAGAAAATCGGAATCCGTCCACGTCAGGCAGCGCTCCAAAACCCTCTAATTAAGACAGGCCCTAAGGACAGCAAAACATCTGTCATAAAGATAGCAGCCGATCCTCGGAAGGTGAGAAAGGGTTTATGGTTTGTCACATCGAATGCGACTAATCAGAATGCCGTTATCATTCCAAAAAAAGATATCACATTTGAAAACCGCAGATAAGACTCTCGATTCTGATGAAGCTGTATAGGTACACATAGCACAGTCATTTCATATTTCAAATTATGTAGTATACCCGTCAAATGTACTTTCGTGTCTTTCACATTACTGAAGTCTTATGTATGAGTATTGAGTAAAGCAATCGTATACATACATAGTCACGAACTACTCAATCTTTCACAACTAATTACTTGCATGTGATCATACAATATATCACGAAATAGAGCAAGCTCAATAGTAACGTACATTATAATAATTAAATATAGGAAATTAGTTTTTTTATAATAATACAACAATCTTTTTTAATAGTAAAACATGAAATAATATCAATAGGTAGCAGTTTTATGTTTACGCACGTATTTTTACCTTGAAAGTAACAGTAGGCACAGATTTCTTGAAATGTCAAGGTTCGTGATTAATGATTTGTACGTTTTTTTATTCAGGTGTATGTGGACGATATCGAGACTGGACTGCGATATATGCTGCATAGCGAACTGACACTTGTTGACGAATTCAACTCGACACAACTCGATACTCTCAGAATCTTTATAGGGGTATAGGTTAATGAGCTTTACAGGCACTATGCCTTTTGAGGTTGTCTGTTAATATAAAGGAGCGTCGTAACAGGTTACGATAAAAAAGCCTCTTGGGCAGTTTTTTTTAGTACAAAGTGCAACCTTTATACAAAACGCTCATCTGGAACCAATCACTTACTTCTTGAAATTAACCGTTCACAGCCTGTTTGCTCGTAACTTAGTTTGTCCCAGACGTTTTTGGGGTGCGATCGAAAAGCGAAACAGGTATTCTGTGCGCTATTTTGAAGTTTCTGTGCCGTTCATACTATGATCATTCAGTGCGTACTACGAAAGTCAAACATAGATAACTCTACGATAGCGTTACGATGCGATCAATCATTCTAAATTTACAGTTATGCTTGTTAGAGATTAAACGCAATGAACAGGCAGTAAGATCATGTCGCGCATACAAGTAGTGCAGATGCCGTCTACTTCAGGCAATCGCTTTGTACATCCCACTACCTGGACAAACGGAGTCTTATTTGAGGCGTGTGCACCTTCTGCTCGTTCGAAATCGACCGCCACTCAAAGCAGCGACATTTCAATCGATTTTGAAAAATGCTACCAAAGGCTTTTCGTTTCGTGATCGCGACTTCATCGGCTGCAAGGGTTTGCTTAATTTTAAATGCCTAATTTTGACATTACTCAATTTATTCTTTACTGGATTTTTCTTGTACATTCATTATATGTATACCCAGGAAATATGGTACGCTCTCGGGCACAAAAATACTTCCAAGAGCTTAGTACTTTAGTTTCTATGCTTTGATGCCATTTTAGCTTTTTTTTTAGTTAAGCCGCTATAACATAGAAAATCTAATAATTGTATGCGTTTCCTCTGTCTGGATATGCTTTCGTTTATCATTATTTTCAGGTAGTGAGCCGAACAAACGCGGCTACCCGTGTAGCCTTTGGATTATCTTTCATCTTATGACGGTGGGCTGTTACGAGAAACATTTGCAAGGAAACGAGCAGAACCCTTATAAAGCTATTCGCTTGGTCCGTGACTATGTACTCAACTTTTTCACGTGCAAAAATTGTGTCAGCCATTTTGCTAAAGCGGCGGCAAATCTTGGTGAGCAATTGCAAAGCGAAATTTTTTCGATCAGAATTTGCAATCGAAGACCTGAATACAGTTTACGACAATGAAGAAATGGGCTAATTTTTGGGAACCAATTTTGCAGACTCTGAACTTGATAAGCCCGCTAACGGCGTTCTCTGGCTATGGAAAACTCATAACGACGTCAACGTGAGACTTAAGGTAATCCAATCAGTACTACCATATCATCACTTAAATACACAGGATGTTTAGTAAATTTACAGCACATACTTCAGCCGATTGTAGAGGGTGATATGAGGTGACTGATGGAGCTTGGAACATTTTTTAGATCAAATTATAGGGTCCCAAAATACTATCTTAAACAGTAATATCTTGGGTCGCAATAATCATCAGTAGGACACGACAGGTATCACATAGGAGATGCGCAATTACGAGACACATTATTTTTTACTGAAAAACAAAATGACGCGCGTTTCTCTTCGCTCAGATGAGATTTTGCGTATTTTTCCGGTGCTTACTTGACTGAATAAATATAGAAGTATTAAATCAAATAAAAGCAATTTTAAATGCATCAGTGAATTCAATTTTAGTGGTTTTACTCGTTTTTCATTTTGCACAGGCTCTTTTCAATAGATCTTACCGCAGAGCAATAATTGTTTTAGCTATTGTTCAGGTGCTAGAAACGGCTGCTGTTTGCTTTTCACCTTTAAATTAAATTACTATTAGATAAATAAAATGAAAATTATTTGATCTTATTTGTGATTTTTTAATTTAATTATTTCACATGTTGGATAAATGATGCCAAAGTAGGGCTCTTATCTACTTGAGCAGCGATAATGTCAAGCTTCGTGTACTATCTAATAGTACATGTACCACCTTCCTCAGTTTTGTGATCAGTTTCTCGGTCAGTGCGAGTGATTATTATTATCACTACTATGAAAAGAGATATTCAGAACATAATTGTTAACTAAAGTAAGAATTTAAAAAATTAAAGATAAATATCATAACAATGACATCGATTGATTATTCAATTAATTAGTAGGTTAATTTCGATGCAGGGCGATATAAGTGAAGACCCGGAGCATCCTAAAGAGCTCTTTCCCAATGTGAACATTTGTGAACAATGTCAAGATGAATCCGGAAGTTTTCAACAGTAAGTTTCAGGCTGCCATTTCTATCTATAATCGATGCTGCTTGTATACACCTTGGAAGTCAACCTACTGAAGTTGAGACAATGCCTTTTTGGCATGACGCCTGTGTACATGTTGGTCTCGGTGATTCAGGACCGTCATAGACATGCAATACATATTGTTTTAGCCATATTTAGTAAGCTCGGCATGCTAAAACGCAGAATCTTCACAATATAAGATCATGAATAAACTCTCATTAGAATCGGTTCAATATCAGGGCGCGTTTGTCCTATCTTAAACTTGTACTGCACAGTCAGCAATTTCTAGAAGATAGCTTTCGCTACTGAATTGTCTCAAATGTCTGACCTAAATCATAACGGCGTGGTACAGCGCACAGTATTTCTCTTGTTTTGTTGTGTTTATTTCCGTGTTTCCAAAGCTAAGTAAATTTTCAACAAGGAAAGCTGAAACATTTTCACACATTTCCTATAGATGGAGAGTGCTGGAATTTTTGGTCACGCACTACGGTCCGGGTAACATCTATGATGGGACATTACGCCAAAGGTATTCATAACGACTGTTGTATAGATCTATTAGGGCGATATTGATTATGTGTATGGTAGTACACTGTTATGGATATAAGCACAAAGACACACTGCTGGGAAAAATAAGTTAGCTCATTTTGAAGAAGAGCTATATGTCTTGTCATACTGGCATCGTCCGTTTATCAATCGATAGGACTTTTAATTTTTTCAGAGCTTTTGACTGGGTGCTGATATCGATAATTCTCGTCCTTCTTGGAGTGCTTGCGGCCATCATAGTTACCCTCTGCCAGATCCCACGAGGTATGTTCTTATTGATGAGAAAAATTTATTACCCAATACGGCTACGGTGATGCACAACTAACTTCTTCAAAGCAGCTATGTCTAGTGTTTAAAATTAGTGCTACACACGTTAGCCACTGTTCGGGATCGGAATATTATGGCCCAAAATGTATATTTTTGTATCGTACTGATATAAAATCAAGAGCTGCATTGCTAATTTAGGTAAGCTCCGTATCACCCACAATTGTGGTTGTTGACTTTTCATGCAGTTTACATCTCAATCAAGATTTGTTTGTAGCATAATATGGCGACCCCTAAACTCGACGCCATATGGTGATGATAAATATCTTATATCGGCCTGACAAGAAGCGGCGTTAATGGTTTACTATTACCCCCGTTTCGCATAAAAAAAGTAGTGGTTTTTGAACAGATTGCAGGCTATGGCTTCGCATCACAATCTTAAATCACCTTGTAAGGGGTCTTCTTAGAACTTCTTTCAGGTGTTTATTAGAACTGTAAGCTAACTTGGATCAGCTACCGTAACAGGCACGCACTATTTCACGCCTGTTCCAAAAAAAGTTAACTCAAGTGTTGTGCACTTCCTTATCAATGCAAGCTTCTATTTACGTTTGTATCTTACATTTTTTAGCGGAAGATATCGAAAAATATGTAGAGGAAACATCTGACGTCCCTGCGAAAAACGACGCCATAATGAAATCAACTTCCAAGCAAACTGCCGCGGTGACAGATACGACGCCTACTAATTAGGTAGCACTACATGACAAATCAAAGAAAGCGACAATACCAAGGCACGACGATAATGTATGCAGCTTGCGTATAATGTTCATTCACGCGTGCGTTAATTTGCATACTGGCAACATAAAAATACTACGCACATAATAAACACATGAGAAATATATATATATTCAAAATTACGTTTGTGTTGCTGTACTGTTTTGAAAATAAAAGCAACATTTACTCAACATTATCCCATTGCAACCTATACAGCATACACTTCGTGTAATTTTCTGGCTAGAAAAAGTTGCATGTTCCGCACCATTTCGGTCAGATGACCTTATTATTTTGGCTACAAACAAGTAAACAGAAGCGACGCCGTACGATTAGGCTGAATTGTAATTTATTAAGGAACCGCTTGCGCTGTTTTACCGCTAAAAGAAACATGAATCAGTCGTAGCTCATGGTTTACCCTTAGTGGCTTTTCGCAGTAGAAACTTAGTTCCTGTCATCTGAGAGAGTTACGGTCAGCACATGATTGCTAGCGTGTTGCATGCTGATTTAGGCCTATTTTGTCGAAGGATGTTCATAGACGAACCCGTTAATCTTTGGAAAAATGAGCAATATATTATTGGCGTATTAAATGTTTGTTCAGTTAATAATTTCATGATAATTACTTTCTGTCTGTAAACAGCAAAAGCTAGTTGATTTTCTGGTTAGCCAATTATGTGCGTTATGGCGATGTTTCTTAGTATTTAGCAAGGCAGGTCGCACTCCGTTTCTTTGGCGAGAGTGCCTTTTGTGCAAGCATTCTTGCAAACCCTTATGCCGATGATAACGTGTAAGGCGCGCAGTATGAAATGTTAAAATGCTGGTGACGCATGTCTGCTAGCATAATTTTGCATGCGTATATACTGTGAAAGGGTAATATTATTATTAATAATATAATATTATTAATTAAAAAATAATATTATAATATAATAAAATAAAAACAACTCCAGCCGCGTTCGAATTAGATGTCTATTACTATTGTTTTCTAAGCCTATATATATATATGTACTTATCCATGTTAAATCGCGTCTCCATGCCTTGCTTCAGAACTTTAACGCCGCAACGTTTCCTGATAAAAATCGTAGTTTAGTGTTTAGCTTTAGGCATAACGAAGCCACGTGATGGCTTCTTTCGCGTTGGTCCGTTGTAAGTTTGCCATTGTGCTCTTTAGTTCATAATACCATTAGAATTACTAATTACGATCTTAACTTGGCTATTCTAATGTTTTGATGCTGTTGTCGAGGCACAGGGCAGCAGTTACATTGTTTTCTTCTACCAAAATCGGTTAAACTTCACCTATTTGTTATTGAAGTCACTTCAAGTCGATTCAGAGATATGATAAATGACGCCTCTCTAACGTGTTACCTAATAGAACATTGCAAATGGAGCTTTGCATAACATTGAAGACGTTAGCTGTACGCAGACAACTGTCAATATTCCCTGCGGGCCAATCGCCTTTGCTTCTCCCACTAGTCGTCTTTGATCGAGTGACGCTCTCACCCCCGTATCTCTGACTACCCTCACCATACGCGCTACGGCAAAACAGCTCGTGTAGATAATCCAGATACCGTGAGTGGCGGTAGAGGCAATGCGCTAGACGATATGACTGCGTCGTCAATGAAGATGGATCAAGAAGGTCGACAAGTGCCAACCCAAAGTAGTGCGCTGTAGAGGAAAGAGGAACAGCAGCATCGGCCAGTACACAATTGGTTTTCTACCAATTGTTGCCGGTACTTGCTGGATTGAAAACCGTCCTTCGTGAAACGTCTTGCCTTCTGCCGGCTCCAGTGCTGAGGGTAAACATACGACAGCACAAGCGCAAGGGGATCATAAATTGTACTGATTTACCTGAATCGCCGAGGATTGTTGCTGGAGTTTTAACGAAAAACGCTCCGCTAACAGAAAGCTCTTGTTTCTAGCGTACGCGTACTATATTCACGCGCGTGGATACGCATCCGCTACCGAGTGCGTTAAGGCGAAATCTGACATAGAACAAAGTGAACCTGAACCTGTTGACGAGCTCGAATGTTGTTCCCATTGCGTCGAATCTTGTATCGTGCGACGAGATGGACGACGCCTGGGGGAAAGCAAATCAATAGTGGAATTCGAGTTAAAATCGAATACAGACGCTCAAAACTACTATGTGCTGAGTGTCCATTAACTATCAGTTGTTCCGTAAGCAACTCGAATTGATAGAATTATGTAACTTCGTACAGCATTCGAAAGTGTGATGTTATCCCGGAGGGCGTATGTCATATAGACATCAAGAACGAAGTAACCCCAGCATATCAGGATGCTGTTCCTACTAGTAAGTTTACCATTTTTACGCTCAGAGAACTATATTGATATCAGTAGACTCCACAGGGTATACTCGTAAGCAGTCCAGCCACTGCTGTAGCATTGCGAACTGTGAGCCTGATTTTGAGTTGAACATCTTCAAATGACTGGGAGTTCTGGGAAATGACTGGGAAGATTATTTTTCATCGTAGTAATTCTGAAGCAATATCGAAACAATGGAGCAGCGATTAAGCCTTGACAATAGAACGGGAGGCAAGGGTCAGCAGCGGTGCCGTCGCTTGCACGGATCCGATCTAGTCGGTTACATGATAGCATATTTTTTGTCGAGGGCCATGTCATATTCTATTAAACAACGTTGTGTGGCCACCTATTATCCAGGTGTCCTCTCGTAGATCGATCCGAACAGCTGCTTTGCTTTCAATTTACTGGCACTATAACAGTATGTATAAGACGGCACTAGCAGTTTGCGTGAACACATCTCTTTACGCATATGCGTATTGTCGCCGACTGTTGTTGAATTGCTTATGAACGTGGTACAAAGGCATCGCTCTGTTCTGTCGGCCATTGCGAACGCATTGGCTGGTTGATTTTCCATTCGAATTCCAAATTGAATTAGCGGTATTCACATCAAGATTGATTGGAGGCCGAACTCAAGCTAGTAGTGAAACGAAGAGTGCGACCCGTACCGAATTTTATAGATTGAATAGTACTTTACATAGCAAGTCTAGTGAGGCTCACCTCAAGCGGCCGTGTTTTCCGACTGAACCAGTCCGAGGATGTTGTCGGCAATTCTAAACGTACTAATCATCACAACTTTCGCCCTGTTTGTTTTCATTGCGCTCAGATAGACTAAGGGATGCTTGGGCTGGGTGCCTCCATCACCAAGCCCAGTATTTCACTTTCTTGAACGACCTTTGACGTTTACTGGTTTTATCAAATAGAACAGCTCAGAAAATTTATCGCCCTATGACTGTTAGATTAATGATCCATTCCATGAGAAGATGTTCGCTCCTTCGGCTAAACACGGGCTCAATAATTATTTCAACTTGCTTCTAGACAACAAAATACTACCATCAGAGAAATCATGGTGCACTATTTCTTCCTCTGTAAAAACGTAATCCATTCGTTAACTTAACGAGAGATATCGGGTGGGTACGAATCTAAAAGTGCGAACTGTCTTCTCTCCCATACAAACTGTAGTAATGTTATGATCTAATACAAATAGCAAAATTTTATCGACCTACTGATAATATTCGTTATATCTAATGTTTATTTTCAGTTTCGCATCATCATGTTTTTGTTGAACTGGTTCAGAAGTTTAGTTGGCAGGCCGGCCCGCTTCGTAATCGTCAACTCCGTCATGTTTACAACGCTATCTTCGCTTTTCTTCATTCTCAGTTTCACCGGATACCTAGCGGCCTATTGGGCCCTCATACCGAGGGTTCAGATCGAACGCGATGTACACTTCAAGTATGCGTACGTGTGACAACTTTCTCTGTCGTATTCTACCGCTATTGTTTTTGTCTTTGTGTCCATGTCCGAGGTGCTGTTACGACTTCTGCGACGCCACTGCCGACGCGCTTAATGTACCCCCTCCGTTCGATTTCGCTGCCGACGCGCCTAATGCACGCCCTCCGTTCGATTTCGCTGCCGAGAAAATACTGGCAACTAATTTTTTTTTTAATGAGTGAATATTCGGAATGTAAAACGTCATGCTTTCCACCAGCTATCATATCTAAATAGAAAAGTAACTTTGAGTATACTGTAAATAGATAAGCATGAAACGCTACTACGCGCATCCTCTAATTGTGAGCATGCGTTCACGGCAATTAGAAGGTGTATATGGTCACAACATGGAAATTGTTTAACATCTCAAGTATATTAAATGACACTTTTATGTTAACGAATTGCATAATAGCATATATACTGTATGGCATTATTGAGGAGGAATTAGGTGAGCCTTAGAAGCCGCTGTCTCCTTCATTTTCCTGCTGTTCTAGCACTTTGTCCAGAGATGTGTGTCATGGAGTTATAGGCTCTGCTCCGTTGTTTCAAAATGCTGACTACATTTAAGGATTGCGGCGAAGTTACTGACACGTTATGTTCAAGCGGCACTCTCATCATCGCAATCATCGCTGGCTGACCGTTTATCACATGGACCACGTTTCTTGAAAAGTCTTGGGTAGGCGCAGATCATTGGTTGAATAGAAAAGATGGTCTTATCGCTGGCATAGAAGTATAGATCCAGTTGGACGGGACAAGATGAGATCTCCACATTTTTTTAAGACGCTACCATATTGCGCTCTTACAATTTTTTGCCTTGTTTAGGTGAGCGACGAACATGACATGCGTTGTCGCTATCCTTTAAGAAGCTGGCAAAACCACTCAGTATTTGCATGGCTCATTACTTCCCCTGTATGCCATCGCTTCATCGGTAGTACCTATGGGCGATGATACCCAAGAAAACACAAAGATTGTAGACGACAATTTAGTCGGCTCGTATCCACCAGCATGAAGCTCCAATGTACCATGAAGTTTGGCAAATTGCCTAATGAGCTTTAACCTTTGTAGATTTGTCGATGCAAAAATAACTAACAGTTCGAATGGCTAAAGTGCACAGGTTTTACATAAGTAGTAACTGCCCTTGTTTATCTATAGTGTAATCAACGATTAGCTGATAGAGGATTATTTCGATGTTATTATTAAAAATTATGTAAATTGTTGTACTACGGAACATTTACTTATATTTTACATCGTTGAGTAGTTCATTGATATTCACTTAATCGTATCTAAATTTAATTAGCGTCATTTATTTACGAAATTATTATTGCATATACGTCATTAAGTATGAACCGAAATTTAAAAACCTTTGTGAAGTTCATTTAGCATGTAACGAATCGATCGGAAATGATTAAGCAAAAGCTAAATAAAGTAAACCAGCCCTATTAGGTAATGCATAGTGTTACGGGTCGACTTTTTAACTGTCAGAGATAAGAACACAGGTCAGGTAAGTAGTCTGCAGCCGTCATTTTTATTATTATTATTGTACCAAACGTTCATTAGCCTTCCGACATCCTTTCACTTTCTGCGTTTTCTATTTCGCAGTGTCTTATGTGAAGTTTGTAATACCGTGGAAACGGAAACAGGATATGTTCGCTTCCATGAGAATTCTTATTAGTTTCTGGTTTGTTCTAGTATGCGTCCGTGTAAAATCACAGATCAGTGTCAACATCCCGTCGCCGAAGTTTGGCTCGGAGACGATCCCGCTCATTTTCTACCGGCGCTTTCACCGGGTACCGAGTACCGGATAGAGCTAAATCTCGAACTTCCTGAGTCCGAAACAAACTTCGACGTGGGGATGTTCATGGCTTCAGTTGAAATGCGAGCGCCAAACGGACAGATATTAAAGGCGGCCCAGCGATCCGGAGTTCTCGTTTACCGAAGCCTGGTGTTGAGGTTGGTCTTTTCGTTAGAAGCCAGTAGTCATCGCTTTAGATCGCGTGTCCATTTCATAGATACTTTCGGTTAGTGCGGAGCAACTGGTTAGTGTACGGGGAGTGAACCATTTTAGCAATGCCGCATCCATTCCGTCTATGCAACCTGACTTTTTTATTGCACTAACCGAAATTCGAAGATGAGTCAGTCAATCAATAATGAAATAATAACTTGACCTCAAATGCCTATATGAGATATATTTCACTATATGGATTCAAGGATCTGTTACTGTGTTTTATCTATAGTATAAATGCGTCCTTCAGAAACCGAACCTTGACAAGTGTTCATATTCTGTTTCAGAATGTTGCACACGATAGTGGCGCTTCCGTCGCTGTTGTTGGGTGAGGGTAAAGAAAAACAACTTGTGCGACTGCCGATGTTTGATTCGTTCGTTGATCTTCCTCGTGGCAATAACGACTTCGCGGCAGTTGCCTACATCGAACTGCATTCCACCAATATCCAAATCTACTCGGCCAAACTTCGCATCTATGCGGACTTCGGCGGTTTGCGGTCAGTTCGACTGGGGTCAAAATGTAGTCTGGGCTTAATATAGCACTCAGACGGGAAGAGAACGAGGGTGTGGGGAACGTAAATGAGAGGCATGGAAAAGAGGAAACATTTCGCGAAGTCAGTTTCACGGGTCAAGCCGCTGAGCTTCACGCTAGTTTATACTATTAATAGTGGACAATTGTATCTGTATGCATAATAATAATCATCCTCACAAAGATTATCACCGTCATAATTCTCAAATTACATTGTCACGTGAAACAGTCAGTTACTTGATTTTTTCGCAGCTACCTGATGTACCGGTGGCCGTTAACGTGTGCTGCGACTGGATGCATGGCGAACTTCGTTGCCTTATGGGTAGCCACTGCTCTCTTCTGGATACGTAATCGGCTTTTCAGCGTGATCAGTTTTGTCGCCAGGAGCGCAGCAATAAATAGAGCGGCCATGAAACGCAAAGCTGACTCAGTTATTTCCGCAGAGAAGAACGGAGCTGAAAGACAAACGCTTGCTGACGGCAAAACCACCACACAACTATCTGACGGGGGTAACTTTTCCAAACATTTAAAATTTGTTTTTCACACCAGCATCTACCTATTTATTAAGTCAGTTGTAAGCAAACGGTTTCTAAGATTATTTATAAAAATATTCATACTTTTCGTAGTGGGGCTTTTGTAAATCCATTCGATAGGGATTGACTGAAATAGATCATTTTGGTTAAATTGTTAGTCATTTTTTTAATTGCTTAGATCACCATTCACGAGTTAGCTCAAAGATGGTGTAATTCGACCTAATTTGCAAATTTCTACTCTGTCTGTTGCACCTTATTAGTAGATGAAGTCGACAAGGAATTGCCTAAGCTTGCAAACATCGTCAGGAAAATTGCCTCTCTTGTACCTTTCGTAGGAAAACTACAACCTTATGCTGCCATCCTGGTTGACACAGGCCTTCGTTGGAGTCCTGTTCCTATACCGGGTAAGGTAGCTTCAATAGCCAAGCAAGTTGTCGGAATTCAGAAAGACAAGGAAGCATAATACGTAGCGGATACTTTTTCCAACCAATTGTGGTTTATTAGCAAGTGTTCATAATAGTAAATGCTACTATCGCAGGCTCCGGATAGCCTCAAGTGAAGCCCTTCTACACAGGGCTTTTCGGCATAAAAATTAGAAATTACAAGAAAAGTTTTAAAAATACAGATTTCTATTAGCAAAGAAAAGAGTTCACGATAGCAATTACCGGCGATTCCAGTCAAAACGCTTCTAGTACAATTACTAACTGTACATGCAGAAATTTCGAGTTGTATCGATGCGCCATCTAAAAATATCGCATAGTTCTTACGAATCGATGACCTTTTGATAAAATCACAATAATTCATATATAGACAGACTAAGCTATGCGGCGGACAAGTATAAATTTCTGGTAATGCCTCGTAACATATGATAAACGAATTTCTGACACTGACTTATACTAACAGTAAAAAATTGTATATATGTTTAGAAATAGTAGGCATGATGTGTGTATATATATTATATATATGTTATGTAGAATCAACAGGCGACTATAGAACGCATGAAGTTCCTTGATCTACAAGGTTTTGCAAACAATTGTAAGTGGCTGCTGTATGATGAATCAGTTCTAATGAGATGCTGATAATATCGCCTGTTTTTAAGCTATCGCAACTAACTGTTAGCATAGAGTAAATAACAATAAGTATTTTAACTGGAATGTACTCAAGTATATACAATTCCGTTTAGCGATCCGTTATTATTATATTAGCTGGAGTATTTACGAATTTTACTTTAAAGGGACTAGGGTAAAGTTTGGTGCGTTCGTGCATGGAATCATGCTTATATATAACAAGATCGATATATGTAACATGATTTAGGTGAACGTATATGCAGTCGAAGAGATGCTTATGAACGAGAAAAATTACTACAGTACCAACATAACATTACTTTGCCCCCTAATTTAGTTGCAAACAATAAAGTTTTGTACTCAACTGTGTACAATTGTCGAAATCTACAATTTCGACATTTAATAGACATAGTTTAAAACCAACAGCAAAAGTTGAGGCTTAAGCAATTCATCGTCGACCTTTTAGGTCTATGCCAATCGAAGGGTTCGGAAGTCAGTCTAAATAAGCAACCATTCATTGTTGCGTATTGTCCCCGCTTTTTACATCAAAATGCTTCGATATATTTTCCTTAGATACTAATGTTCTGGAAGAACCACGACCTAACAACGATTACGTTGATATGTAAAAGGAAAGAAGAGATTCTGTTCAATAATAAACATTTTATCATTATCGGTTCGCTTGAATCCTAACAACTGTGGGGTTGAGTATATAGAGCTGAAGGGAAAGTCAAAAAGTAGAACTGAAGGAAGCATACATACATATATATATATATATAAAATGTAAAATGAAATTTATCGTATAGATACGCCATATGTTATTAATAGTGCCATATGTCTAGTCAAGCACTTATGAATAACAAAAATTTGAAGCATACTATACTACAAAACTATTCAAATAAATGGAATTATATCATATATGGGAAATCGAGGCAACGATATGGGAAAAGTATCAAGAAATCATTAGGCCTAGCGCTCTGTTACAATAGCAAGTAAGGAAATATGGCTAGTAAGAAACGAGGAAACTGGTCGCCGGAAACACGAATGGCCCTAGACAAACGTAAATTTGCACCACTAGTGAGCATTCACTTCGATTTCGGCAGCTTAGCTTACAATGCAGCTAACAATGTGTTTTGTTTACTCTGAAGATTTTGTTTTCAAGTTTCCTGCATGACATGATGTGTCATAAAAAAACGCAGCCCACAAACTGAACAATGGGCGCCCATTGTTATATTCCAACAATACTGAAGCTAATTATGTAGAAGCCATCATCCAGAGGATATGGCCCGAAAAGTGAGGTGAATCTACCGTCGACTTTTGCGACAGCTGCTTGACATAGCAGCCTCATTATGCAATGACGGTAGTGACCCTTTTACCCTGTAATTTTAATAATTGAAAAAAACTTCCTTGTTTTTCTTCTATTTTTACGAAAAAGTGTTGTCCACGTTGAGGGCCACTTTTCTTTTCCACTGTTTCGTCGAAACAGTTTTTTTTTAGTATAAATAAAAATTAGTGTCCTCAAAGATTTATACAATATATTATAAATTTTGGCTAGGATAATTCTTTCCACAGATAACCATTTTGAGGATCACCCGTGAATACATTTCAAAAATGTGAAAATAATCGAAATCTCAGTATAAGTAACCGTCTAGAAACGATTATCGAACCGCCAAGTTATTAAGAGGGATTTGGAAATTCGTGTTAGTGTGGCCAATGGCTGAAACAGCTAGGCCTCAGATTAGGGAAAAGCTAGTTCAAGTTCCGCCGAGGTCAAAACAAAAAAAAAGACATCTAAACGTCATTATGAATTCTACTACGCGATTAATTTCGTATAAACACAAAATCAATTGACGCCTCAACGATCCTTTTCATTTTAATCGCCTTGGACAAGTAAAATTAATATGAACCTGACAACTGCACCGTGAGTAATATTTTTTTTTATCAAATGCTATCGCGATTCTATCGGGTGGCCAGAGTCAATGCAGATCTCGGCGCTCGTTGTTGTGCTCCGCGCTAGTTATATTTTATGCTTAGTAATTTGAAAAAGTACATTGTTTGCCGAAATTTTCTTCTTTGCACTCCGATATAACAGACATAGCCATCTAATGTTATTTTGACTCGTTGAGTATGAAACATTGATATAGGTATCTATGAGACAATAGACTTTAGAAAGTTTATTTAAGAGGTGTCTTGTAAAAAGAAAAGATTTGATTTCTTGTTGATCTTATGATATGAGATAACATTATGTTTACTATGAAACTGGGTGAGTTATGGGATTCGAAACGATAGGAGTAGGTATTATTATGAATTCGTGTATAATAATATAGTATAAATTCACAGATCCATATCAAGCAAATACCTAGATCAACGTCATTTGAGCTGATTTTTTAACGAACTTTATCACTCACGTAAGGCTATCCTAAACACAAAAGAACAGTTTAGTGTTTGAATTGCTGAAATATCGTAAATCGACGGACTTCAGCTTAAAATTATCGGAAGTTCTATCATCGTAATCACAAGTTAGCTATTAATCTATTCCAATAACTCTATATGAATAAGGAACATTAGTATTATAAATAAAATAGAACGAATGTCTGTTTTTGAAAGCTTTGTTTCATGCAAAATATAACACCGAATTAGATTCGGTTTAAATGTAAAAGAAAATTTTATGCAATGAGTGCCTACACACGAGTGTTCCTGTAAACGTGGGATTGATACTAGTAAGTGCCGTTTCCCTATTCGCAATTTTAACCCCCGCATTCGGTGCGTTCATTAGACATGATTTCTAAAACCTTTACACAGGCTCATGCCCGCTTCTCTCACTTACAATCCTAATATAATTTCTCACAATATTTTGCAACATTGACAATGTGTATTCCTCCATACTAGATCGTTATTTGCCCCTCATCTACATGTGGATAAGGTGATGCTATCGTTGAAAGGTGCGGGAAGTCACCGAACAATAACAATAAATGTTGTACATGGCGAACCCCTCTATTGGGATTTGGAGCACGAATTTCCCTTGTAAACAAGAGGAAAACATCTAGTTGTAACATTTAACATTAGCGCTTTGTTGAGAATTTACGGATCAAATATCTGTCATATTTGCAATGTTGGTACATTGTTCAAGGGTAGCCTAAAAGCTATCTGGAATCAGTAACAATAATCAATGGTACCTGTTGCAATGTTACGAAGCAAAAAAGAAAGTCACAACGGAGTGCTATTATGTGTAGTTAATCGGCAATAGAATCCGGCAGGTGAAATGTCATATGGTCTGTGTACCACAGCACAATTTTTTTACGGATGAGTGAAGTGAATATGATAATTCAAAATTATAATTATTATAACTGGAAAATAAAGTTCATTCTGTGTGTGGATCACCTGCTGTAACTGTCAAGTGTGAAGAAACTGCGTAAGAAAATTATTTCTTTTATATGCTTTTAAAGATATAAATTTTCTAACAATAAAGTAAGCAGGCACTTATTAAAGAAATATTCACTGGTCTCGATGAACCTCCGGCGTTAATGGCGGGGCCCAATGAAGGTTCACTCTGATGTATATACATATATATATATATATATATATCGTGCTTCCGCTCCAACGATGGGCATCGAAAGAAGTGACAAAAGTGCTTACGTTCAAAACAAACAGCACTGTGCTCTGAAGAAGAAATTATGTGAAAGACGAGAGTGTTCCGCGTAACTTCCAATGTATAAATTACAAACGACAAAGCAATACCAAAATTTCTAGTTGCATTACAAGATAGGTTCATTTAGCATTTAAAAAAGTCCTTAAGGCAGGTTTAGCACTTTTTATGGATATATACGAAACGACTGAAAAAAATATATATTTTAGGTACCTCGTGGCATAAAAAAGAAAATTGAACCCAAACTAGAAACATCGGACTTTTTCGTACTTCAAACGGCATAAAGCTGTCTGTTGAACTGTTGATGTTTAAACGTCTGGTTACGGTCATGGCAGTCTTGTTCAGTGTTTCAGTAATCTTCTATTTGTATTTTTTAATATATACATATATACACTTATTAATTTATGTAATATTATACTTATTAATATTATAAAGTTATTTCACGACTAAAAGGTGCATATTTCACATCGAAATTTTCAGCAGGAAAGCGACAAAACCACGGTTGGGCCATTCTTTTCGGATAACATGTCTTGATTATAAGTAGGACAAATTTTTTCGATCGGCCGGATGAAACTTTTCGTAGAAATTGAATTGATCTTCAGGGTACTAAATCTGAATGGAGGCATTCAAACGATTCCATCGTATCTACTACTGTCAAATGTTAGCTTTCAAAGGTCACCAGCGTCGTATTGTCTGCGACATGTAACTTGAAACATGAAACTAGCTAAAAAAGCATCAATGCATCTTCGTTTTTTTTACATCAAACAATATGCATTATATTTTATAGGTGTTTTTTTAGGACCAAGGGACGACCGCGGCTTATAACACCGTGAAAAGAACTATTGAGTGGCTGTTATCGTATGAAAACCCAACTCTGATGTGATGTTTAGAGTGATTTAGACTATCGATGCTTCATACAAATTGATAAGTACTAAAAAATGTCTTTTTGTATATACATACGTGTATAGACATACATGTAAAAATATTTAAATAATTTCGAACAGGGTAATTAACAAACGCCAATATCTCAATTTTCTTAGAGAAGCTAGAATAGTAAACGAATTTGTTTAGTAACGAACGGCTTTCGCTTCAAGTGTTCCTGTATAGGAGAGTCAAATTATAGAGGCCAAAATTTGCTAACTTAACCAATCGAAAATAAGCGTTGTTATGGATCAGAAACAAAAGATTTCATCGATTTCGAGAAAATCTCAAGATCAGTATGTCGTTGGGTCATCTAGCTCCACCAGGTAGCATTGCGTGGACCAGAAATGGGAATATATGGGCCATTATTGAGCTGGTATGATAAAGTTGGTTATTTATCAAAGTTAAAAGCTCTTTATAGGAAGGGCTGTGATTTTACCCAGAATAGACGATACTTATTTTATAGTTATAGTTATTTACTGCTAGGTAGGTCGCAGAATATGATTTGTCTATAGGTGAACACGAAAGTTCTACTCTGTTGTGTAAAACTTGTTTTGAATGGCTCAGGTACTACCAGTTGCAATTAATTCAAAAAGTGAAGTAAAACAGTTTCCAAAGTTCGGACTGAAATCTGTGTAACTATCATGCTCAAACATGACTGTGGTATGAACAATCGTCCACGCTCATAACTATCCGCAGTGTCGTCCTACTTTTAGGAAGTTTGGGTTGCTATCTTCCTAGAGTCCCACAGATGACTGTCAAGTGGAATAGGTGAGTGCGTCTACTGATAAAGCTAAAAATGTGCCCGGACACCGTTTACGTTGTACAGGCATTTTCTAGAAATGATGATTTTGTGATCTTTGGTGATGGATTTGGATGAACCTTTGGTGATGACTGAAAGTAAATAGTTGGTGTAAGGACAACAAGCATTAGTCGAAACCCGGAATTATCCATGGCCACGAACTTGTAGAGATTGATACAATCGAACGCCATAGTGTTGCTTAACTGCATTGTCTAACGTCTAAGAAGTCGAATAGCGCGACCGCGTTTTATTCGCTCTGTGGCAGTATGTCCAGTACAATTGCACCAACCCACAATGCATTAGCTCAACCAAGTTGTTACCTCACTATCCAAGGTAAATAGGAATTACTAATCCTTAGATAGCCGGTTAGATTAAAAAAAAAAGTTACCGCGCATAAGAATGACTTATTCTATTTAGAGATGCGTATACTTATCAGTCAATTTGTCTAGCAACCCTCGTTGGCGTTATCCAAGTTGAACATCTACCGACACGTGGGTTGGAAAAAATTATTCTTTAGGGAAATAAAATGGAAAGGTGTAATTAATTTACTTAAGAACAACAACGTCTTTCAGCATCAGCCATGTTGAATCATGAGGCTGAGTCGATTTTCGGCATGTTGTAACGAGGTAGTCAACCCGTTTGTCTACGCGTTTATACGAAGGTCCGCCGGATTTAATCCGATGGATAGTAATACGATACTGTCTCTGTATGGGTAGGCTTTCTATAAAGGCCTTCTTTCAATTATCCGTTCACTCATTTTCATGATGGTGTATCTCGGTAAATAGAGAAAAAGAAAGGAGAAAGGTTTCGGAGGAGATCGGTAATATTTGGACCTACCTGTAGGATAGGACAATGCGATCTGATGATCGGGAACATCTATCAGTGTCTCGCATTACCATATTACGATTTGCCTCGTTATCCGCTTTAGCCAATGGGGCAGCGTTGTCACAACCGGACAGGTTTCATTGTTTGCTAGGACGATGATCCGAGTATACATTTGCTAAGACAGCAAACGTTTCACTAAATTTTCAGAACTGTTTAACATTGAACAGTGTTTCAGTACTATATATATCATTTAGGGGTAATAAAAAACAATTCGAAGACGTATTTAAATTGTCATCTCTGAATTAAACATGCGTAAGGCTCTGCTTCGAAGGAGAAACAATCTCAACGATTTAGAAATTGGGTAGCAAATTTAAAGTTGCATCTCATCAGAGGCTACATTAAACTAAAATTGTTTCTTTACTTAATCTCAGTTGTGGTGCAGTGTATGCTGCTGAAGGGGCTTGAATAGGCGACTTATGACTTCCTGCAGCCAGAAATAAATCTGAGTGACTAGTTCATAAATAGTCAATTCATCAAGGTAGAAGTCCTTCGCCGAAGGCCCGGATACGCTTTGTAATTTGAGGCATCGGAGCTATTGACTACACAAGTCATCTAATATAAATATCAGTTCCATAAAGACAATTATCGTTCATCGTTGCGCCATCAATACGACATTCTGAACACGATAACATAACCATTACACTGTACCTATTTGTTCTGCTGTGGATCGAATAGAATAAGCGCACAGGCGACTTATATAAGGTCTAAAAGGTCCGTTCGCTGTTTTATTGACTAATTGTCAACCACGCAACTACTTTGACATTTAATTGGTGAAGCCCAAACACGATCGTTTAACGACAATTTTAAAATTGTCAAAAACTTAAGCTTAATTACTGCACCCCTTACGGTGTATGCTGTTCGTCTGGTGCTATTGTTATTTTTTTATTGCCATTTTGGATTTCGCGGTTTTTTGTTCGTTCTTTTTAGTAATATATATGTCCCATTGTTGTGTGCACGTGTCTCCCACTCGACGATTGTAAACGAATCTTAGCGACGAAACGAGGCACTGAAGAACTATCCCGTTCCATTCCCCGAAGTCGCTCCCTGAGACATGTAAGAGCTCCCAGAGCTCAGTAAGGGAACGGTAATTTTGGAGCTGTGTGCTTACGTTTTTTCAATCTGCAATGTGTGGACGAGATTAATTTGATAGAAAAGTTGTTATTTCATCATATTCATTATCGTACACAATACATCAATTCTAGCCATAAACACAGCCAAAGGGTCTCCTGCTTCACATAAACTGACACAGGTGCTCGGACGCTGCCATGTTTTTTTTTGTTGTTTTTACAGATCTTCACATTCTCGCTGTTACGGTTAATTATACATTGGCACGGACATGTATACGCGTCGCTATGTTTTGTCGCATGCTACCGTCCTATCTCCATGAACCTTAGGCAGGCGTCTTTATCCGCTATAAATTCATCCTATTTAGGTCCAAGCATATCGAGAGGTACGACCAGCTGGTCAAACTGTTCGGGAGTGAGAATGCCAAGCTTTACTGCAGTTGCTTTGAGAGTCGAGCCCTCCTTGTGAGCTGTCTTGGCAATTAAGGCAGCCTTATCGTAGCCGATGTGCGGGTTCAGCGCAGTTACCAACATCAAAGACTCGTTCAAAAGCTTTGTGATACGATCCTGAAACGCGCACATATAATGAAGTGCAGAGAAAATAGATAACATATAACATGCCGTTTGTATTTAGGCTTTGTAAAATAATTCAAAGGAACCCAAAATGATATTACAGTAGAATAGATTTATTGACATCTTTCTGTTAGTTTCATTAAAACTAAAGATTCGTAAAAACTTCATCCACACGTTTGATCGTTTAAACAGCTATTAAATAGAATCCTCCATGTCAAAAATGTGCTTATAAGTCAGGAAATATTTCAAATCCTATTAAAAAGTACACCTCGTACATAAGAGGACATAAACTGATGTACTTACTTTGTTTGGTTTGATTCCGGTGATACAATTGTCAGTAAAAGAACTGGAGCAGTCAGCAATAAGTCGGATCGAACGCAATACGTTAGCCACAATCATCGGCTTAAAGACATTTAATTCGAAGTGGCCATTCGAACAGCCTACCGCGACGGCCGCATTGTTACCCATCACTTGAGCTGCAACCTACGCAGAAAACACTGCACATTAAATATCTACAATCGTAATAAGTTAAATAGGAGAAAACCTATTTATATTATAGTACTTACCATCGTCACGGCTTCGCATTGGGTAGGGTTCACCTTGCCGGGCATAATCGAGGATCCCGGTTCGTTTTCAGGGAGAGACAGCTCACCAAAACCACATCGAGGACCCGAGCCCAAGAAACGAATATCGTTAGCAATCTTCATCAATGAACACGCTAGGACATTAAGAGCGCCGTGTACCTGGACAAACGAAATGCCAATTGACAATCTAATAATTGAGTCAAGTTAAGAACGCACAAGTTAAGTCGACACGACACAAAAAAATCAAACGTTGTTATCCTTGAGTATATCACCATTATACAAGCTGTTATTATTACAATAATACCACTGCTCTATAGAAAAGAACCCCTACCCATCCGACCAATGAAATCTAAGGGAACAACTTTTTGAGAGTTAATCGTTCATTCAATTCTATTCTTGTTACCATTAATAATGGTTTCTCACCTCAGCCATTGCATCATTGGAGGCAAGAGCCTCGAATTTGTTAGGCGCTGTTTTAAACGGCAGGTTGGTCAGTTTGGACACTGTTTCGGCCATTTTCTCAGCGAAACCGATGTGTGTATTCAGACCAGTACCAACGGCTGTACCGCCAGCAGCGAGATAATACAGGCGAGGCAACACAGCCTTCACCCGTTGGATGCCAAACTCAATTTGCGTTGCATAACCTCCGAATTCTTGGCCTAAATATCACAATATCTTTACTTTATTCTTCGTTACCTGTCTAGACTTGAGTGTCTAACGCTAAGATAATTACGTACCAGCAATAAATGCACATTGACGCTTTGTTGTAAAAAATTAATTAGAAAGTTCTCTTAACTATACTAACCGAGGGTGAGTGGTACAGCGTCCTGTGTATGCGTTCTTCCGATTTTGACTATCGTGGCAAATTCGTTCTCTTTTTCACGAAGTGCCGACAGTAGCTTCTCCAATCCAGGAATAAGTCTGTGAAAGCCAATGCACTTAATTTATACAAAACTAGGCTAGATGGCACCACCGTACATAAAACCTAAGCACGTGACGTTTCTTAGAAATTCGAGGTCCTTTTTGTCAGTTCAGTAAATTTCTTTTGTGCACAAGATGTTTTTTAGCATGATTATAAACAACATTTAGTATAACCTGAATTAATTTCGATCTCCCTATACGTGCTGGCGTCGAATATGTCCTCATTCAAACAAATTAGGCGTAAAAATAATTGTTGTTCTCTTGTAAACAGCTGAATTCGTTGTAACGCAGCCGTCATTAATCGAGCAGACATAATAATAAACATTTCAGGGAAATTTGTAATCAATTGTTACAATTTTTTAATGCATGTTCATGATCTTTCTAAACTTCCGCTAAATCAACAGCTCGGAACGCTTTTGTGTCAGAGGTATACTGAAGAGCCAAAATATGATTCATATATACCGTTGATGAATCTCGACGGCAACAGCAATATGCATGGCGGTGGGATACGTATCGTTAGAAGACTGTGACTTGTTAACGTGATCATTCGGGTGAACAGGTTTCTTCGATCCCAATTCTCCACCAAGCATTTCAATTGCGCGATTGGCTAAAACCTACATAATTGTAATATACGATACGAATCGATACAAACAAACAAACAACAAAATGTTATTTAACTATATTCTACACGATATTCACCTAGAGCATGATGCGAAATGTGGTGCTGGCGGAAATCCGGAGCAAAAAATATGATAAATTCTATATCAAGTGGCATGCACGAGCTGCGCAGAATCGTTTAAGGTCAGCATTTGAAAAGGGCATAAATGACCGTCAACTCTGGGCACGTTAAACGTTGCGAGATCAGATGAAGATTTTTTTTTGTTGGAACTACTTGTTCGGAAACGAAAACAAACAACAAAAAAACAAACAACAGCATGTAACATATCACCTATACAAATAGAAAAGAATCGGCAATGGCCATCGTAGTAGTATATACCTCATTCATATTCATGTTGGATTGGGTGCCCGATCCGGTCTGCCAAATAACAAGCGGAAAATGCTCCAAAGAGATCTTGCCATTGATCACCTGTGAAAGACATAAAAACATACGACGGTTATGATTTTCAGTTTTTCTGTTCACCATAAAATATTGTAGCGTATTTATATTAATATATGTGCAAAAATGCCAATGAGTTCAATCTCATCATAGACGTGCGAAGATTTCCCAGTTTACCTCATCGGCGGCTTTTGAAATAGCATCGGAAAGTTTGGGCTCAAGTCCGTACTCCTTGTTAACAACGGCAGCTGCTTTCTTAAGAGTAGCGAACGCTTTGATGACAGCTTCTGGCATTCGTTCGCGTTCTCCTGAACGTGAACAATATCAGAAAGCAATTGTAATTGTGTTTAACACAGGTATGGCAACAAATGAACGCAGATATAACTTTTCTTTTAGTTATGTTTATAGTTACAATTTTCTTTTACACAAGATCTGTGAAAACGTTAGTATGGGAGAGCTAGTGGAAGAATAATCAATTATAAAAAAATACGCTCACACATCAGGCTAGTTATTTTTGAATATTGTTTTCCTATGTCTCCCTTAACGGAGTTTGCATTTAAGCGCACTTTCTTGCATGCTAGCTCCATAACATCCAATTTGCAGATGTCAAGGGTACACTCCAGTTTAGGTAGACTACCCTATTCACTATTATGTCTGATATGTTCCATAGCGAAAATCAGCAGTGCTTAATAACTAAAACTATAAAAGGAAATAGAATCTGCTTACCTCCAATGTTAAAGTTCATCATGGATCGAGCCGTCTGTGCACCATAGTATTTATCGGCGGGAACCTTAAGCTCACCGAAAGTGTCCGATTCCAAGCGTACCTAAAACAAGGATGGTCAGGAAATAGCAGTCCTTGTTAGCCTATGACCTATACCTTGAGCTCAAATGGTGACCCTGTCTATAATTGATTTGCGATACGTGTAATGAAATGTATAACACATTCAAATTACGCTCTAGCTGGCTAAAGATCAATTTCATATATTACACCCCAGCGGATAAAACTGTACTTAACACGGCCGTACATAGAACTGTTACGGCTCACGTAAAATAATCTGAGTCGCACAGATCAAATGCTGCAGAGGGCTAGAATGCTTTGCTCCAGGGCGCGCTTTAATTGGGCTGTTTGTCGTAAACTGGCCTATGTCCATGCGTTATTCTTCACAGCGGACGGACAAATAGCAGTTTTTTTCAGAATTAAGCAGGGCACATACTATGGGAACACCAGTACGTCGTTTTAAAAATTCGAGCGAAAATCTATCATAACTCAATCTTTCAAACCTCTACCAAAACAGAAAAAAAACCCAATTGTTTTTAGAGTTCATGCGGCAATCTGAGAAAAAATCTCCTGATGCAAATCGGATCTTTTTAAGCTATTTTTGGTATGCCGAGGTTTTCGATACAAAAATTACAAAAAGTACAGAAATTTTTAAACTTTTTGGCTCTCTTAAGCGCTTTTATTTTTGACATCTTCTGTTTGCGATCCACCCAAAATTTAATTCCGCTCTAATTTTTTTGTATATAATGTATCTGAGCGACACGTTAAGGAGTTCACTGTTCAAAACCTATTTGTAGATTAAACGAATATTTTAAAAATAGTTAGTGGTTTAGCTACTGAATTTAAGTTGTGATCACGGCGGATGACGATTATATTGAACGAACATGACTCTCATGTTTTGAGTATTTTGCTGAAATACATGTTTTTGTTTTACATGTCAGTCTTAGAAATTAAGCATGGTGACGGTTCGTTTAGACTGTTTATGTGCGCCACTCATTCACTCAAATCGTATCAGCGTCGTCAAGAGAATTTTTAAGTTTCTCTTATCCACCTTATGTGTAAACTGTTCAGTGGCTTCAGGATAGCTAAACTTCTGGCTGACAAAGACAGGGGTCGCTGGTTGAAACCTTTAATGACCCCCCACTTGTTACGAAACATGGTACAGGTGAATAAAGAAACATATTTACTACATTAAAGAGGGCTGCATCAATGCAGTGTGGTGTCTTTAGTTTATATATGAGATAACAATGTATATCCCCTCTAGTGTCGTGTTTGCCACGATGAAGAATGCGTCTTTATGTAAAGACGCATTCTTATTCGTATTGACAACTAGTAATTGGGCTACACTGATGAATATCAACACAAATATCGTGTGTATACCCAAAGGTGATGAGAAGTATATTGCCGTCACGCCACCAGAGTCGTCCTTGGTCTGTCCGGCTATATCTTGCAGTAGTGAGATAAGATGTGTGTTATCGCGCTATCAACAATACCATAACGTGACCCAGGTAGAAATAAGGTTCCTTGGGCCTCATGCACATAAATCGACCTAAAAATGAGATATAAACTAAGCTTTTTAATTATGCCATTACCTGCATGGCATATTTAAGCAGCTCTTATTTACTTATTTCACACGCTCCAATACACGTTTGCACGTTTTGGGCTTTGCGTGCACTGCATTCAACCTGTGAGCATTTTGCCGTCGATTCTATCAGTTCACATGATGTTTACTACGAATACATATTTTAATGTCAGTCGAACACGATCGTCAGAAGCACAATTATCAGTTCGAAATTTCTAGCAATACACTGCACCATATATCCAAAGAAGTACCCCATCCCACAAATTTGCCATCACTGCGCGGTTATCCGAACCAATTGCCTGTTGATTTATTCATATAACGTAAATGCATACATTAGCGTATTTTAGACCTTGACCATTACGGCTAATTAGTATTTCAACAACTAGCGCTGGGGAAAAACTTACAAAGGAACGCATATTTGTGTTCCGTACATGTATGTGTGCGCTTAAAATCAACCAAAAGCCATCAGTTTAAAGTTTCTATGTCATTTTCTAATGCTTTCTGCGTGCAAATTTCCGCAGACTTTTTACCCAAAAGCATCCGTGGCAACCCAACGAGAAAATTATATCATGTTCCTGCTCAGAAAACGACAAATGAGAACCAGGTGAGCAAAGGTCAGCAGCAGAAAGAATACCATCTGCCGGAAGCAATGCGCCGCATTAGAGCGTGTACTAAAAAGCCCCACCAGCCAATAGGGCCTGCTCCATAGACCGGGTCGACTAAAGCGGCCGATGCACTGTTCCATCGCTGATCGTATAGATCATCTTCTGAGAAAATATCAACTTTGGTCGTTTTTCTATTTTCCAGCTTCATTCTGCCTTACCTTATCGGCCATGCTTCGTTGAGGTACGGCCAGCAAGCGAAGAGTTAATGAGCCACCAGCTCCGTTGCACTGAATAGAGCGAGTATATAATGAACGGAACATTTTCAACACTCACAATGGAGCGAGTCGGCGCAGAGAATCACACCACTGAAGGGAAACTGCAAAGACACCGCGACCTCCTCCCCGAAAAGTCCGCTCTACACTTAGTGCTCTAGCTGCAGATCATGGAGCCAACCACAGTCGTTAGTGTCTTTATTAATAAGCGCTAATAGAAGCCTCTGAATATGGCAGTGGTGGAGACGCAAGCAGAGCCGTATAGATCCCTTTAGCTGACTAACAGACTCATCTGATCATAATGCGTATTTCTACTATAGATTCAATACACAGCTATCGTGCGTAAATAAAAGTTGTGATCGCATTTGTATGGCGTTCTGCTGAAGCTTCTTTGTATCGCGCAGGAATAGAAACAGCAACATCAACCGTGCAAGATGGCGGCGTCAATGCGTACGATCGCGCGCTCTGCGAAACTTTTGCAAAATCGAGGTTTTTCGATGAAATTCGGACTACGGACTTATCTCTCTTCGGCGTACGCTTGCAATGAAGAATGGGCCGCACAAAAACGTAATGATCCTCTTCTGAAAATCCCCGATGCGGGGCAGTATTTTGTTGACATCTCGAGACGGTTTGTAGCTAAAGCGAAGGAAAACTTGGCAGTTGATGTGGACATATTTGTAAACTCGGTCGAAGGCGAGGTCGTAATGCAAGAAGTAATAAATCTACTTAACCGGTGAGTACAACAAAAGAAACATGTTATAAATTACAAGCTCGGTGAAGGTAAGTAAAAATACAGTTAAATTACAAGCAAAAATAATGCGTACATCTGCCAATTTCAGATCTAGCAGAACTAACCTATTTTTAAATGATCGCGTTGACCCATTTGTAAGAACTACCCGAGTGGTGGGTTTAACGCAGATATTATTATTTGACTTCTTCTTATTATTATTAATTGGCGTATAGAAGCATTTTAAGCTTTTCTTTCTTCTAGCACCACATATGTATATGTATATATATATATATATATATATATATATTAGTGCTTCATTATTCAGATTAGGATTATGCTTAATGATAAATCCTTGCATTAGGCCAACATAACTAACGTGTTTACGTTGTATCCACTTAAACTGTACAGGCTGCGGCGATCGAAGCACACGGTGCACACGTTACCGTCGACGGCATGTGCAACTGTTCGGTATATGCTCTCTATCGGCCAGGACGCGAAGTTGATAGAAATGCTCGAAGACCGGTTTGCTTATGGACTATTCCCCGACGTTCCAACTATGAATTTGCTGCTTGATCACTTTCTGATGAAAAAGGGAAAAGAGCGTGAGGCCGCCAAGGTATGAATGCATTTCATAGACATTAAAAAATTTGTACTCATGATTTCCGGCAAATCGTGGAATTGCACAACGAACCTTCTTCGTTTGCAAGATATCTGATGCCATAATGTCTGAAGCGTTGGACGACTTTCACTAAATGAATAATGTAACTCCGATCTTGCTATCAGAAGCCTTTTGAAAATCACACTTCGCTACTACTGTTTTCAACGAATGTATAGTAGATGCTGATTATTTTATTGACCAACGGTTTACGACTACGTTGAACTAACTCGCACTAGTAAGGACCTGTCAAAAACTGGAACTGGTCATCGATCTAAGTAAATTGTAGTTACCGTAAAATCGATCAATCCCTCAACAAGAATCCCTCACCATATTTTAATCCTTTTGTTGCGTTTGGCCCAAGAATGACCTACACGTTTGTACTTTAATGCCCCCCATCAGATAAAATAGTCATTTTAGAGATATAAATTCAAATAGGTGATGCCATTTCGTTCCTTTGTCGAAAGCAAACAGTAGGTTTGTTCGAGTTGTCACAATTGTACCATTATTTTTTTACTATGCTTTTTGGTATTACATGTCGAGGTGTACTTTTTTGCTTTTAGGTTGCGACTGAGATGATGCTACAAGAAAATCCTGGAAATGAAATTACAAGAGTGCTTAGCCTTCTAGCATGCATTAAGTAAGAAGCCACTTATGTTATTCTGAAGAACCCAATGATATAACCCAGTATCCAACAATGGTCCATTGCGCTGTGTTATTATGTTCTAATTTATCCGTACTCACTTATGTTAAGAACGTTTTCTAATCGAAGAGTTACACGTATTATGTAAAGAATATGAGCGAATCCGAAAATATGTCAACTAATTGTTTGATCTTCTTATCGACATTGATATGTTATTATAATCAATTGTTTCCTATACATTCAAGCCCACTAAAAGACTACCAAATACATCCGTAGTATACGGTACATTGTAGCAACAAAGTTTTTCTGTGATACTCTCAGCTAGAATTTCGTTGAGGTGAACGAGTGCTTAGAAGGACTTCATTAAGTGTAGTATCAACGATGTGCCTTCGACAAAAGCACAATCGGGGTGAACTTATGCTTACAAGTTATCCCAATAACTTTAAGAAATCCCAATTTCTTTAACAAATCTAGCATAGCAACCATGCAAGTAGTTATTAACTTCGATAGTCCTTTGTTTTCTTTAACTACCTACTGTATCTAGCTATAGATTTATGATCATTTTTGCCAATGCTAACATTTCAACCAGCATGGCTGCATGCTTCTTAGCTAGTGGTTATCATCGAAACGCACGCCATGATAGACACGGTGTGGCCTCATACTGAGGAGGCAGTATCGCCAAGTTTGACCTCTGCATATGATTTACTAGGCAGCTTATGATAAGCTCATGTGAAAAATTTCTTTACAGATATTTATCCACCGGAACAAAGGCTTCGCCATGGATAAATGCACCGCCGACTCCTGAAAAATCGAATGAAGACGATGAGATAGAGTATGTAAGAGTACCCAATCTGACGAACTTCTTTTTTGACGATCATTTCGATCTAACGGATCCTGATCTTGTGATTGGAAAAACTCTGTTACACTTTAACAAAGGGCGCCAACCAGGTCTCGTCAAAGACTCGGTACATCTTGTAGGGCTAGCGAGAAAAGGCCAATGGGAGCGGATGAAAAAGGATATATCCAGTGTTAAAGAAATCTGTAGTGATGCCAAGGAGCTTTGCCTTCAACGGTAGGTGCAATTCATTTACTAACCATCCTTGACCCTTTGATCTATAGTAGTCTTCAGTGGCTGTTATTTGAATCATGTATTTAATTTACTGTTTTTTGGACATATATATACAGTTGTGATCCTGAAAATAATTTTGCAGTGATTTTTATTGCAGACTGACGGAATTTACTGAGACGGAAGGTGCCGAAAAGTTTGATCCTAAAGCAATCATTGGTATGACAAGTCCAGATATTAGTGGCCTGCTTGCATCCGCGCAGAGGGTCTCCGTGCCCGACTGGTTTGCACCACAACTGGAAAAGATCAAGGTTGAACCTTAGCTATATTTTTGGATGAACGAATGGGCCGTCGTGTACAGACTATAAAATTGACCAAACATTTATTGTATTGCATATTCCTGCTGGCTTTTAAAGAGCACGTTGCTTGTTTGTTTAAGAGCTCCTAAAGTGTGTTGTGGTGCTTATTTCTCGTAGGTGAATGATGCTAGCTTGATCTCCCTATTGGAAGCTGAGGCCAACAACCTTTCGCCGCACGAGGAGTTGGATATAAAGAGACAGAAGTAAGGATCCAATAACTTTATAACATTATATATGTGTTTTATATATACTTTAAATGAAGCAAGCTGTGCCGTTGCCCATACATCTGTGCTTATTCAATCCCCAATAAAATCTTTCTAGTCTATTATAGAAGCTGATCTTTGAAAGGAGGAAGATATTAATCATGCTTTTTCTAATTTTAGAATTCTAGAACTGCTGTCTGGAACCGCTATTAGAGATCGCGTGAAATGAGAAAGATATCCATAAAGAAAAATCTAGTAGGTCAAAGTCAAAGTATTGTGCTCTGTGCTCTGCTCAAGTTTTTACGCATATCTGGGTATTCTAAATTATAGAAAACAAAGCTAGCTAGTCAAGCAATTAAAGCCAACAAAAACTGGAAGCTCAGTTCATTAGTATACTAATTATGACTGGGTTTGTTTTCGAATTGCATGTTATTGTACAGCACGTAAGAATAATTAAGAGGAGGTATCAAGCTAAACACAGTAGTGTATTCGCTCTAACGCGAATTTTTTTTAATTGTTATTTTTATGCATTCCCTGCGTGATGAAGTGCGTTATTTGCTCAATGGGTGAAAGATCGAAAGGCGGCAATTGATGAACAGCGTGCCGCTATAGACCGGGTGCGACGCATTGAGATACTTCGCGCAAAAAAAAAGGAGCTTGTTGAAAAAGAGGAGCTTTATTACGCTTTTGAGAAGTAAGTCGCCGTGAATACTTCACAGTTCCACATGTATTCAAGGGGCCTGACTTGAGCTTATCAAAAAAAGTGAACACATTGAACTTGGCAGAAAATTTCCGACAGAAGACATTATGTGCCTAGGGTACGAAAAAATAATTCTGATATCACAATAATTCTTAATTTAACGCTGTTTTTTTGTATTCCAGTTGGAACAAAATCGAAATGTTACTTGAGGAAATCAACAAGAACTTTGTCAAAGAAGAAAAGGTTGAAGAGTATGTTCCACCAGAGGTCAAAAAACGAAAACAGCTCACAAAGTCGGAACCAGCCAAGGTCGCTACATAAACATTGTGCGACGTGCATCCAATATCAATCTTAACAGCGCTCCGTTAGGAGCAAATTCGTTTGAAGACGTCTATCGTGGTGGCCAGCTTCTCAGGTCATATTTGGCGGTCGCCGAAAAACATGCTAAACGCATATAGGCTGGGATTTTAGAATAGCAGGTAAAAATCGCAAGATGGAAAAGGTAATCACGTGATGAAGACGATCGAATTCAAGTGGCAAACGGAACGCTTTGGCGGCGCACAGGCGAAAACATCAAAGTCGTACGCTAGGCTAAAATCAAACGAGAAAGTTCGAGGAGTCGTAGAAAAGGGTGTAAATATAATTGTAATATGTAATAACGAACTTGTGAGTCGCTGTCTTTTATGAAGGATATTACGTATCGGCGAATCAATCGACCCTGTTTGGCACTATCACTTTCGTGGAAAATATGTGTGATTTTTATTGATACGTTTCGTGCTTCATTAAGACGCTGTTACGTCATATACATGCTATTACGTGTAGCTCATTTAAAACATCTCAATCCGCAAGCTGTTTGCCGTAGATACTCGAAGGGTTTTAAGGGGCTCCACTACTGTCAGGTAGCACTGGTTGAAATTCCACATAACTTTGGCAAAAACCTAAAAGTGAAACTCGGTATCTATAAACGAGATTTAAACATTACTACACATAAAAAATATTCGTAGATATACGTGTAATAAAACCCAATAAAACCGGGCGTTTTAGAAAAAATTGCACCAATCCTTAGTGTTGCTTCGAAAGTAAGGAATACAATCACCATTTGGAAATAAATATTAGTAAAGACCAAATCTTATCCTCAGTGGCAATAGCTTACGTCAATACGTCTTTCAAGGCTTCAGTACAAGTCTAGTTCGATCTCCATATATCATGCGAGAACCTCACTAAACTAAGTTTTGAATATTTCTATTCTAAAGTCTATGAGTGATGCATTCAATTATTGTAAAATAATTACTGGTTCTAAACGTCGACGGTACTGACCGTTTGCACGAATGGTTTCGAGGTAAAGTAATTTTAGATTAATTAGAAATTTAAGCACAGATAATGGATACTTGGACCATGAATAGGATTTGCATTTAGTAGTTTAGACAAATTCTATAATTTTAGGAAAAAAAAATTAATGGATTTTCAAAAACGCTTTCCCCTATATTGTCGTCGATTGCTTTCCACCGAATTATTATTCGGCAAAGTCTTTGGCTTTTGGAAGCGGTAAAATAGTTACGAATCACTTAAATTAAACGATTTTTGGATTTTGCAAAATGAGAGGTCAAATTAATCCCAGTGCAGAGTGCTAATTTGTAAATTAAAACCAATCCCTTTCCTCGTTGTTTCTCCTGCAAGGTCGTTCTATATCTCACACATTCAATCACGGCGTAAACTGGTAATCGATAAGAAAATATTTAAATATCAGATAGGTTTTACACATTTAACTATATGCACATCTGAGTTCATTAGGGTAATTATGACAACAATCTTTGTCCTACTGGCGTTTACTATTATACCAGAGCTAAAATATAGTTTTAAAAATAAAAGACGATGAATTTGGTTTTACATACATATCAAAATGAACCTGTACTAGGTATATTATAGTATCATAAACTGAATTTCTCAGTGGATCATATATAGCTAGCGCACTTCGACCCATCGGGCTCTCGGACACGAAGATTCAGAAAACTATAAAAACACTTTGGTTGTTTACCGAAACCACTCAATATAAACAGATACACGTGAAACTAGATCCCACTTATGAAGTACGAATTTATATTCTATCTGTTATTTTTAAAGAACCCTGATAGCGAAAAAAATACTTTCAAACATGTCCTTTAATTCGTATCAAGCCTTTAGTGACCAACTCCTATTATGAATTAACATCTCTCGACCATACCAAGATGGCGCTCGTTGGGTGTATCATTCCGCTTGTTGTGTGTTTCGTGGTCTTTTTTGGCTAGGTTCGGCGACGTGCAAGATGGTGAGAAAGAATCCAAAGAAATCTGATTAAAAATAATTGAGTTTTATGTAATATCTCTTTACGGCAAAAACGTCAAACCAACCGGGATTATTCCCAATTAGTGAAGCTGTGTTTCTTTGTGTTTTATGAACTATATAAAATATATTGTGCTTCACCATTGAAGTGTGCAATGTGATATCGTGTTCACGGCAAGATCGCTTGTGGATGTCCAATTCCCAGTTTAAGTCTCAGATTGCGTCTGCCTATCTCGACGGATGTGAACATTTCTTTTATTGACGCCTATTAAAGGCTTAGGGCCTTTATAACACTGTGCTTGTGATATTTTTCATGCGTAAACTTGAACGTCATGACTTGAACGTAGAATGAGATCAAACAGGACAATCTTTTTTAATTTCGAACTATTGGGCCTATATATAATGAAACCAGTGCTAAAAGGTTGAGCTGACGAAGTCCAGTATTGAAGTTAAATTTCATTTTTTTTATCCCTTGGTAGTAATTCGTAAAGTAGTACTTAAACATATATCGTAGCATCACCAGCTTTTCGTTTGAGCTCTTCAGGGTGTTTATATATTTATAATGGGACAATTGCAAGAGATTCGTAATACCTTTTGACTATCACTGTCTAAAATGCACAATCTAAGAGAACAGGCTAATTGAGTCTAAATTGCTTTGATGCAGACTGAGTCTTCGGTGACAATCCGCACCCGTCGGTACATGACGAACCGGCTTCTAAACCGGCGTCAAATGATTGTTCACGTTGTGCATCCGAACCGAGCAACTGTTTCAAAACAAGAGGTCCGTGAGCAGCTGGCCAAGCTCTACAAAACAACGCCGGACGTAATCTTTTGCTTTGGCTTTCGTACCAACTTCGGAGGTAAGCGTCTATATAAGTCTCTTCCATTCAACATTGAAAAATGGACGAATAACGAAAGCACGCCGTCGTCATCTATAACTTTGAATGCTACAGGCTCGGTTTTTGCCATTTTTCTTCATATTATGAGAAACAACAGTTTTAATTAGCAAAGCTAGCCCAATAATCTGACCGGTATCTGACAAAAAAATATGTTGTCAATACCAAAGATAAACAATATAATGGCAAAATAAGAAAATCAAATACATGATGCGCACCCCTTCAACACTTGTTCTATTCGTCATGATTTCAATGGTCCATCCAAAAATTAACAATATGACTTGTACCTTTTCCATTCGTGTCACGTAATATATCTGCAGGTGGAAAAACAGTCGGCTTTGCGCTGATCTACGACACCCTGGATTATGCCAAGAAGATCGAGCCCAAGTACCGTTTGGCTCGGCAGAACCTTGGTCCTAAAGGTAGAACAGGCCGCAAGCAGCGTAAAGAGCGCAAAAACAGAATGAAAAAAGTGCGCGGTATTGAAAAGAAAAAGGTTGGAGCCGCTGCGGGCAAAAAGGTGCGTATTAGTGCGTAAGCAGCAAATACACGATTTGAAATTCAACAAAGTTCTAATTATAGAACTTTCTAGTTCTTTGTCGAATATATGAAGTTGTTTTTTTACCAAGGCTAAATGTTTTTCAAAAAAATATTGCTACGTATTACACTAGCCGCGGATTTTCAACCCTGTTGGTAAAGCAGTTCTTCTATAAAGAGTCAAGATACCGATTTGATTTCTCGAACGAATGTTGAACGTCGTTGGATATTATGATATTATTATTGAGTCGTATATTGAAGCTTATCAGATTAATAATGATTAGATAATCTATTTGATAAATCAGTTTACGCAATTTAGTGCGGAGCAATAAAATGTTGTCGTTACGGTGCAGCGTTAAACTATGGAGTACTACAGGCTCTTGTCGTGCTCAGTACCGACCTTCAAACCTGCCGCAAGCCGGGCAAAATGAGGGGTAATGAAACGTGTGCAGAACAAAAGTAGTTTATCTTCAGCAAGCAAATAATATTTATTTTTCTGTAGCAGATAAGCACCAAATGAAAGTAACGTTTTGTTGTGTAGTTAGAACTAATCGAACTTGCAACAGTTTAAAGAAACAGCAACGCATGGTGTGGTTACATTGATGATACTACAATATCTGACGTTTCAATGTTTTGCCGTAGAGTACTGGGAGTATGTGTCGATGAGATTCTCAAATACCAGCATGACAGCGAAATCCGTTCCTATGTATGACAAATGCGACGTATATTTTATATTGATTTTCGAGCTAATACCCGTGTAAGACAGCGAAACAATCAAACAATTAAAAAAAGAAGTCAATAAAAAAAATGAATACAGTTATCCGCCTACCAATTTCACTTCATTCTATACTTCGTACAGTTTTATGTCTATAGTTTTTATAGTTAAATAATTTTATTAAGATTCACATGTGATAATAACACATGCCTGCAAAATGCCCTGCCTGTAGACTTGCGAGTACAACGTGCATTTTGCGTTTTAAGGAAACTTCCGTAAAGAATGTTAGATCAGTTTAAGCAGTGAGTTCTGCTTAAAGCAGCAAAAGTCTCTGATATATTTTACAACTGTGCCTGTCTATTATAGCTCCTTTTTCCACAGGCGGTTGACATGAGGTGTATAACTAACAGTGTCTTTGTTTCGTCATTTTGCAGTAATCTGTGCGAGAATAAGCGGAGCGTCGTTTTTCGTCTTTCGACAACTACCTTCGTTAACCCATAAATATGGGAGTCTCCAGCTAAAGGGGATCAAGGAATAGAGGTTGTGGGGTGTGACGAATAAAGACAATTGTAAATTGAGTATGGTGTGTATTTTCAATATATTACTGCTTTAAAAAATTGAGGCTGGGCTGGGGCTTTGACTTAAGATGTAAAAATAGAAAAATAACTTATGACTACCAAATACGCTTATCTATTTCTACTTTGAAACACGTTTCTGTTAAATATATTAATTAAAAAGATTAGGTGTTTTTACTGAAACATGATTTATGGCAATCTCGGATGAACTTTTTAGAACAGCTCAAGGGAATCTGAGTTTTTCAGAGTGTATTCTAGAAAGCGCATGCAATGGTAAGAAGTTGACGAAAACTGCCGATCTAATTTATGTTGGGCAAAAATTAGGCACTTCTAAAGTTAAACACGTTTGGATCCTTTTTTTTAATTATTTGGGACGTAACCGAAGTAAAGTTGAGCGTGGTTTAGGCACGATTTACAATCTATTTTGATTTCATATATAAAAGGAAACAAGCCAGAGCACCTCGCACTCTTTGAAGCGGCACTATTCACAAAAACGTTTCACGTTATTTTTAAGACTTTTTAATTATATTTGCTTCCTGCCGAGACTAAACTGCTTCAGTAATGTTGTTCAAGCGCTTATAAGATATTTATCCATAAAAGTCTTATTTTCGACGTGTTCACGACGTGGGGAGCAGAGAAATTGAGATGGGTTTAATGTTTCCGTCTATGTTCCTCAGATTAGAGGGTGAAAAGGCGGTGAAGAAACACTTAGGGATGATTCAGACAGCAACGATGCTGGTTATAGCAGGAATACAGGGTCAAAGACCGGACAAAGACTGTGGTTTATGCCACCCGTGTTTTCATTCATGCAAAAGTGAATCCGTGTGGGGTTGACGACGGTGAAGATCATGTATAGTGTTTTGAAGTCATTGCTGTGGGGCATCCTTAGTTAATATGTCAGTATGTATAGTTACAAATGACTTTCCATTCGCAGTGGATATCTTGATGTTTGGTCAGCCCTGTCCTTCGTGTGTCTTATTTTCATGGCAGCAGTTACCGCAACCTTTTCATGCTATGTATGGCTTTCCGTCATGGACGCTCATGGAGCTAAGTCAAATACGGCCAACCTCACCGCGCCCTAACCACATGACTTTAGCAGGCTGCAGGCAACTTCTTCGTCAAAGAAGGCGAGCCTTTTTCAGGTGCCATCCAAGTTTCAAAAGCCTTAAAGCATTGTTGAAACTGTTACTGCGAGCCATTTCATCACTACAACTGCTGGACAATAACGCACTCTGCATCGCCACAGTCCTTCCACGGAGTCGATATGCGAGCACTACTTAACTAAATAGTACAGGTACTCATCATTAGCAAATGTGCCTTTATCTGCCATGGGAACCGGGTACGGAATTCAAGGTGCTTTTCTGGATTAAAATAAAATTTATCTTGCGGAAACCTCCAGTCGCTAACCCGTAGGTCCTTTATGAGTAGCAAAAATCCTACTTCGTCCTACAAACGTCTTCGTTGGACATTTACTTACGCAAGTTCTTCGCGTACATTGATTGAAGTAACTGACCGTTTCCCGCAAATGTAACTATTATTGATTTACAGAAGAAAATACCTTTGCAACATCTAGCCAGCAACAGTGTGGGTTACATAGCCTCAACAATATGGTACAGATGCAAAGACGAAGCGGTGCTATCTGTCCAATGAGCTTATAATATCGTACCGAAACTTCATTGTGTTTTCAAAACTCTAAAGGTCTAAAAAATCGATCCACGATGATGTTTCCAAATTTTATTACACAAAACGTTTTGAGGCATTACGCATCTATTCTGTAATTTAGATTCGATCTGAGAACCTGATTAAAGCTGTGGTTATGTTTTGTAAGGAGAACGATTTGTCTAAGAAACTATAGCACTAAACTACTAACTATGGTTTTTTAAGCCTTGCGCTATCACCTCAATAAAAGAATGAGTACATCGGTATTAATTAACTCCTGAAGCTTCGTTGACGAGCGCGCCACATACGGCGCAATAAGAAAATGTTAGTCCACTAGCTAGAAAAGGTTTATTTTCAAACATTTCGATGCCGTTAAGCTCTATGATATACCGATCACGTGAGACAAGTGAGCCGCCGGCCAACCACACAGAATCATGTCAATTAAGCTTTTTTTTTTGCATAACCTCTAGTGTACAATACATAGATACAGTCGCTGGCCGACCCATTTAGATGGTATTTCCTGCAAAAGGTCAACACATTATTGGAATCTAAGGACGTATTTTAGCAAAGTGACTAGTGTTACTCAGTTGTACACCTAAATACCCGGAAAGGATCGCCTGTGGTGACACGTCCATTACTCTGTAGGCATTTTGTGAATATATGCGGTATAAACACAATGCCTTAGACGTACAGTGACGATGTTCATTGTGTCGGCCCATTCCATGACTCGCTAAGGCGCACAATTGCACATTTAATATGCATTTTGAATTTGATGGGCAAGTAGTATATCCATTAGCAGATGCATATTATATTATTCATGGACGCATGACGGATGATCTCAGTGCGGCTACTAACTGGTTTTCACGTCTTGTGTACGCTTGTAGATAATTATACCTTTTTCTATCTGTATGCAATCGGGAGAAGGCCCAGTGAGTGTGGTGAAAATACGACGCAAGTTTATGAGTGTGTCGGTTAAAGACTTCATTTTCTAATGCTTCACGTCTCTTCCGCAGCATTATTATTGTTCAGCGAGTCTGAGTTCCATGAGGTGGACACATTACTATTATGTTCATGTTTCATCAACCTTAATAGTAGCTGCTGACGTTTGACTATTAAATGATCGTTAAAACTGATTAGGTGGTCCATAGGCTAGTTCAAATATATCTGCTTTTGAGGCCTACACAAATATACTAAAATTACCTGCGGCGACAATCATAATGCAACTTCCTACGTTATCAAATCCGTTTGGAGCACTACCAATACCGTTTTTTTATATTTATGTTACAATGCTTCAATGTGTGTGAATTGTTCCGCTCATATGTTTCACACAAAACAGTTAACTACTTGTAAAGGAGTGACAGTTTTTTATTTACTTATTTGATGCGCAAAATTTATTTACTTTCTGTGCAGTCTTTTTTCGAATGACGACCGAAACATATTTTTTATATTTACGTCCACAAATACCTAACGTGCTAGAACCCTTAGGCATTACTTCAGGTGATTAACTATTAGCACGAAACGAAGTGTGTTTACGCCCAGAATCGAACCTAGACTATCACGTGCCCATGGGCTTAACAGGCAAACACGCACGGCGCAATCACGGGGGATTGAAGATAATACGTGCGCTGTTACAGAGCGCCTTCGAATAGTGCCTTGACGTCACAATAACTATTGGATTGTTGCATAGAAAATGCAGTATATAACAGAAGCATATATATTAAACAATTTCTTAAATACATAGTAAGAGATAGATTGGCACTAGAAACTTAGGCTTGCTAGAGTGAAAATATAAAAAATATAGATTATTAGTGGTAAAACAAAGAGGTGCTTAAACAATTATTGTTTGCTCTAACGAGTCCTTTTATGCATTTCTATTTTGTGAAGCCCTGAGACAAGGCGCAGCAACGCTGATTCTTGGATGAACTGCGAACTAGGGTGACATTGTACTCATCAGGCGTCTGGCTGGAAACGCAGAGTTATGCTTAGTGGAAATATGGCAATAAAATCAACCCCAATCGTGTAAAAGTGTTGCCTCTTTCCTCTTGCTTTTTTTTTGTTAACATATTTCAACAGATACGTGTTCCCAAAAATATTAGCGTCCTATTCCAATGGTAGTGCTGTGACCCATATTGCGCGTCTTCTTCCTGCAAACACTTCCTTACTGTAATGATACCTCACGCATTTGTATAACCCAGCTAGTGTTAGAGATTATTGCGGCAACAAAATCTTCATGAAGGGAATCCTTTTTTGAGGATGATCACGACATCAAGTCAAGTTGTACCGAATGCCTTATATCTTTAGGTTGGACTATAGCTTGCCCATCCCTACATGGTCCCGTCTTGAATAGTTTTCGTCATTTGAATTCGGATTCAACCCGTTCTCACTATGCTCTTTCTCAGTATAGGACAAGGGATTTTATATGTCCACTAGCTGTGCAATAATGTGTGAATGTAATACGCTTCAAATATGTGCGCTGTTAGACAAACTAAATACTACTGTAAATGTTTTACCTATTTTTGCAATTGCTGAACAAACTATAAGCTTGTTGAACACTAGAAAGAACGAATGCTTCGGCTGATTCTACTCCATAATCGTCCCTGTTATGCCCTCATACATATAGCGCGCGTCGACAATTTGCCCGACTGATTGATTCACTTGAGGATGGACGTGATCTTCTCAGATGTCGTCTCACGTCCCCAACCGGTTAGCTGGAACTACTGTTGTTGTTACTTGTCACGTTTGCACGTGCGTCAGTGTTACCCCACCACTGCTCCCCATTACCCCATGTTCGCCGAGTCACCAGAATCTTTGAGAGCTCGGCTGAACTTCGTCTAGGTAGTCTTCAGTGATGGCCACTTATCGCTAAGCGGTCCGGCGCACGTAAAATGACTTGTCACGGTCTTTGTGGAACTGCTTCCAAATGACTCCACTCAAAAGTAACCGTAGTCATCGCGGTTGCAGTACACCAACAAAAGAAAAAGGGAGAGGGCCTATAGTAACGTCATATGGCAAAGTCTGGGTTGCTATTAGCGATGTCGCTTATGGTAGTTGAAGGCTGTGCAGGTAAAGCAAGCTAAGACAAGCAGTGAACAGAATCGGCCCTACTTAGTTGGAAAAATATAATTCAATATAGCTAACTTCGACTGAAAATAACGAGAAAAAACTGATGTAATGCGTAAGGATAAACTGTTACGTGGCACGGAGTTTTACAAAGTTGGTTGGCGGACCATACTGGAAGATTGCCTCCGTTCAATGACTTAAATGTGGTTTTTTAAAGCCGCAGCAACAGCAACGACAGTAGCTTTTGTCTATGTAACAGGTAGGGCGAGTGATCCACATCGCGCGGGTTTTTTTGATTGGTGGTACATCGTTAATAGGGAAAACGACCAATGTGGGTTGCTCCGCCCCGCTGACGTCATAGACCACCACTCTTATAGACACATAGACCAACACACACGGGGCTCTGTGAAAATTGCAAAATCATCAACTGATACCAAACAGGGTTGCCTCGGCAAGCGAAAAGGTACCACAAACGTACCACACAGAAAGATCGGAGAAGTGGACGAGAAAGAGAGATGAGTAACCTGTCTGCGATCTAATCGGCGCTAATTCGAAACTCCGTCTATTCTGTAAGGAGATTCGTCTTCAGACTGGCCGTAGAAGGTATTGCCTACACGAATCGTATATATACGTAGTTTAGGCCAGCCGAAATCGCTAGGTTATGGATTTTTCATTTTGGGCCTATTAGAAGTGTACACCAAAATACCATATAGGCTTTAAGACTTACGAGTTGTCCACCACTAATAGGTCTTTTGTAAATTTTTTTATTCCAAATTCTGCCAACTAAACTTAACAATTAACAGAACAGCAAACATTTTTACGGCCTTGATCCAATCCTGCATTCTATTTGCTTACTGGCCTAAAGCTACCACAACCAATTTAATTCCATATACGTTTTTCATGTGCGTCGGGAGAAAAGGGGCAGTTCCATAAGAGGATATACTGGGACGCAACCTGTGCTCCAATAGTAATTTACTACGGTTGTGTTTCCTTGCAATATATGTTTCGAAATAAAAGTGCACTAAGTTCCGACTCAAAGTCTTAGAGCACGAGATCCAGCGTTTAGCGGATGGGAGCTCCATAGTACAAGATGCCTTAGCCGTTAAATCTGAGCTGCATATCAGTCAGATACGCTTAGTCCCCTTAAAACGGAAAAAAGTTCGTGCATGGCTGAACGTCAGGCTCTTATCGAGACTACTTGCGGAGTCAATGGCATCTCTCTTGTGTTCGCTTGCGCGCCTTCTCACGCGACTCGTTTCTTTATAACTGTCTTACTTTAGCGTGCGAAAATAAGTGCGCGAGACTGCATGATCCGCCGCTAGGCGATGTAAGTGCCTTAGCAACTTCATTCAGGCCAGAATCAGTGTGTCGGCTTTGCATCAGCGGAGCTACCCAACTAATTAGCCAGCCAGGCATTTATGTGTATCAACACATTCATAATATCTTACCAGTACATAACGGTGCTGACTGGCAGAAATCGAGAGTGCAAGAATGTAGGGCTAAGTTTTTCCGAGTTTTGCGCTTGGTATTGCTCTAGGCGTTCTATCCGACGGCTGGCTTCCAGCAGAAGACGTGCAGGTTCAAGTCCACCACATGTTTCTCAAGCTTACCAGGTCCCCGTGCTGGTGTAATGGGTGACGTGTTTGCCTGCTAATTTGAGTGTGAGGTTGGAGCATACGTATCGGATCAGACAGTCGTCCATCGTGCCGGTCAGCGACGACAGATACAGCAGCAGCGGCGACGGCAGGGCAAATGACGAGTATAGTGAAAAAAAGACACACAGATAAGTAGACAGAAAGGACCAACGGCCGAGCCCAGCAAACCAGTGAACAATTATCGATAGACAGATAGACCGGGTCGAGCCATTAGTCCTTGACGTTGGTAGTGAACGAATGGCCCTTTCCCAAGCGGCCTCGCCTCCGCTGGCCTGGCCGAGCCGTTTGCAGCAGCGGCCACCGCTGCCTGCCGCCGACCAGTAACATGAACATCAGCAGCAGCAGCAACAGTTATAGGGTATTAGCGGCCATCCAGTAGCCAACGAACGAGTTAGCCCATAGCTCTGATCAGTGAACAAGCAACGACGAACTGCGACGCTCTACAGCTCCTCCAGCTACTGCTGCTGCTTGCTATTATCAAGATTACATCTTACTATAATTTTTCTCGGCAACCCTGCGTGGACTACTGCCGCTGCTGGGAACGCCACTTCTACGTCCGTCGCCCGTCTGCCGCCTGCTGCTGCAGCCGTTACCGCCACCGCTACCCTTCTTTCTTTTGCTGCCGCTGTCTCCTCTATAGTCGTCAGACAGTGCTCGCCAGCGTTGCCTGTGGCGGCATAGAACTGTTAGTGGTGGGAAGGGAGGGAGCGAGCCGTCAGTCAGCCATCCATTCAGCGGAGTGTGAGTGCTGCTGTTGCGGCCGGCGCGGCGGTGGACCATAGGACCGTCGCTGGCTGTCTGCTGCGGCTGTGTTGTGGTGCTGCTGCTGTTGTGGCCATCGTCGACGTCTCGGTGTGCCGTTTCCTGTGTAGGAAAAGCTGCTGCTGTCTATCTGCCTCTCTGTCTGTCTGTGGGTCCGTCTAGCGGCTGCTGTGGTGTGATGTAGCCTGTAGCTGCAAGTTTGGCTGTCGCCGTCTAAGGCTATGAGTGGTGGCAGCAGCAGCGGCAAAGAGGCAAAGGCGAAGTAAGGCAAACGACGGTACCGTACTGAGCCAGCAGTAACAGCAGCAAAGAGCCAGTAAAGAGCGAGTGAATAGCGACAACGACGACGGCGGCGGCGGCGGCGGCAGTGGCGGCGGCGGCGGCGGCGGTGGCGGCGACGACGATGACGAGTGGAACCAGCAGCGGGCGAGGATCAGTCAGCAGTTGCTTGCTTGGTCTGTTAGCTGGTGAATGAGTATCTTCCTGGTGATGGTAGCTGACGGTAGGGTGGTTCGGCCTGGCCCAGCGCAATAGAAGCAGCAGCGACAAGCGAACATCCGTCCGTCCGCCCGACCGATCGCCCGCCCGCCCTACCGCATCCCGCTGCTGCTGCTGCTGTTGCTGCTGCTGTTGCTTCCTTCGACTAGAGTGACTCACTTCAGGTCGTCGTCGTTGTCGCCGTTGCCAGATTTAGACGACAACGACGACGTCGGCGTCGTTACTCGCCATCACAAACGGCAGGAACCAGCCATCGAAGAAGCAGCAGCAGCATCCACAGCTATCACCGATGAACCTGCAGCAAAATGGCTGTGAGCTAGCTAAAAGCTGCTGCTGCTGTTACAACCACTACGAGCTTTGGCTGGTGACTAGTCCATCTGCGAGAGCTGCTTCGTTGGTTTACTGAGTCGCTGAGCAGCTGGCTTCTCGCTCGCCGTTACTGTCGTCTTGCAGCAAAGACCGAGTAAGTCTTATCCTCTGTGCGTGAATGTCTATGCTAGCTGGCGTTTCCAAGTTGGAGCGGAGCCTCTTTTCGACAAACGAGTGACTGGTGCTCCTCCCAAATTGCCTGCCGTGCGTGCGTGCCTGCCTGCTTGCGTGCGTGCGTGCGTGCATGTGTAGGTGTATGTGTGGGGATTTTTCTACAACCACAACGATATTGAGGGAGACGATTCGTGTTATATACAGCAACGAAAAGGGCAGCGTTCGTCACCTCTATTGCTAGAGATTCAGAACGATTTTGACGCCTAGCTGCTTGCGTGCCGTTGTTAGCTACCAGGATCACCAGGACCAAAATCAACAGCACTCGTCAGTAAGTGCGTCACTGCAGGCAGCAGCAGCAGGTTTCCTCCTGTCCGTCGCATCATCGACAACGACGATTCGAGTAATTTTTAAACCCTACGAATATTGGTGCTACTGCTAGTCTTAACGTAGTATAAAGTTAGCCAACCCATCTGAGCGTCAGATGAACGATATAACACTAGTACTCGGACCATCAATAACGACGTTGACCATACCGTCACCATAATCATATCGAAGCGCGCTATATTGGTCGTTCTACTTATCTATTTGTGGTGTGCGAGCTGGTACCGTCGCCACCGGGTTGTATAAGCGATTCGGCTGGTTCTGCTATCATCGTCATCATCGGGTTAGTTGTTTTAGCGAGTTGCTTCGCGGTTTCTCTCGATAGTTCTAACAAACATTACTAGCGTACGCAAGGCTAGGCGCACTTTATCCAACTCTGTGGGCGCCGCCGGTTAGTTCTGTAAAACGACAGCGAACAAACGGTGACCGAGTGCCAGCTACAACCTAACCTGCCGACAAGTAGCCAACTACGCATCAAAGCGGTAGAATAATCGACTCTATTTCTATGACTAGTAACCTAACAGCAGCAGCAGCACCAGCCGCAGCTCTAGCTGCCGTTGTTACTTGCAACAATCTCAACATTTAATAGCCGACGGTTAATGGTGATTCTATTTGCGGTGGCCGCGGTGCTGGTATCAGCATAGTTTGTTTGTTCGTCCGTCCGTTTGTGTAGTGGTCGTATCGTCAACGTCGTCGCGATTCGTGTCGCTGGTGTGATCGTATGATGGTCCAATCAGGAAGAGCTGCTGTGAGTGTTTGTCGTCGTCGACGACGATCCGCGTAAGTTTGGGGTGGCGCTATCTGCTCGGCCATCACCGTATCACTGTATCGGCACTGATTCGACGTTGGTCATAGGAAGTGAATGTATTTAATATCGTGCTGTGCGTCGCCGTAATAGTAATATGCTGTGAAAACGTTCTATACCTTACTCAAAAGGAACACGAAAGTTGGCAAAGGTGAAAGAAGACGAGTGCTGGTGTTATTCGATTCATATAGAAGAGCTATTATTTGTTAAGTCATGCGCTCATAGTAACGAGAAGAAACCTCGTTGAAGTGTGTCTGGGAAAGAAAACGGGTGTGCCCTATTCCCTCCCTGGTTGTTGATCGTCGTGCTGGTCGAAGGAGTGCTGTGTGCGTGTGTGTGGTGCCCTATAGCATTGAGGAATAGTCCACATTATAGGACTACAACTGTACGTGCAGCCTTACAGCGAACAGCTAGAGGATTTCCTTAGACGCCATCGTGTCGTCTAGATATCTATCGATATTGTCTTGTCTGTTTCTTGTTATCTTTAATTAGAAAAAAGTGTGTTGGTGTGAGTGCCCCGTGCTGGGGAAATTATATGTACAAAGAAAGAAAACACAAAACGCCTAGTGAGTTTTGTTTAGTAAGCCATTAAAAGCGCGAAAGCGACGAGTGCTTATATATACCACGCGAGTGTGAAGACCAGTGTGAGGATCCAGTCTGCCAGCAGTTGGATGTACGCGACGTGCTGCGCAAGCTGACCTCTCAGCAATAGCTGAGCGGACACCCGGAGAGACCGTAGACGAAGTTTTAAGGTAAGTTTAGCTTTAATTGGTCAAAGGAACAAATCCACGCAATTGTTAGTGTGTAGAGTGGTTGTTAAGGACAGTTCTAGGAGGGCTGTTCGGAGTATTGACTGTGGTACAGAATCGATGTACTGGCTTTGTTTCAATATTGCAACTACTGCTGGCCGCGGAGAAATTTCATGGACGCAGTAGCAGTAGTGGCGGAGGTTATAAACCAGGGCCTAGCCAGCAATAGCGGCAGATCGAATTTCCATCCTGATGCTGCTGCTGCCGCCGCCTGTGCTAACCACAGCATCCGCCAGCACCGACAGTAATGCTAGGAGATAGAGAGAGCGAGAGAAGTGCCGAGAGTCAGCGAGACAATCAGCTCTGTTTGTCTACGGTGGTTGTTTTCTGCCTTAGCTTGCTGCTGTGCTAGTTGTCTGCTGTTCTCAGTACTTTTGTCGCTGTGCTCTGTCATAGCGCTGATGCGAACAGGAACTCACTGATAGCAGCATTGGCAATCACATCATCCTCCTCCTGCTACTGCTGCTGCTACTGCCGCTGCTGCTGCTGCTGTTACTGCTGCTGTCTGCTATAGCTGTGTTGGTACTGTGCCTATCTATCAGTCAGCTATTGGAGGCGATAGAGGGCTGTAGAGGGGAACGGCCGCCGTGGATGGAAGCCTGTAGTAGCGGTAGACCAGTTACCTTTCCTGCTATGCGTATTCGTGTGCATTGTGCTTATAGTGGTGGTGATTTTGATAGCTAGGGGCCCTTTTGCGCTGCTGCTAGAACGGCCGTAGCTGTAGTAGCAAACGCAAGTAAGAGGCCCTACTACGTCGTTTTTGTTGTTGCTGATGCTGATGATGATGACGATGAGGCCGACAACGAGAATGAAGACGAGCACTCACACGGGACATAGGAACAAGCGGATAGATAGATACACGGGACTAATAAATAGGAAAGCGCGATTTCTGTAACAACGGAGGCCGGAGATATAAGGGGGTATGAATGAAATTCGAAAAAATGCATGGAGTTGGCTGGAAACGGGGGAAACGCAGACGACGACGCACGGCAGTCATATCACTTAATTTCTCACAGCCTTAGTGGGAGGATAAGCATGGCGAGAAATCGCTAATCAGTAATACATAGTCCGTTTAGGCAATTGTTACCTAGCGACTCGCTCCGTCGTTTCTCCCGTGTTTGGTTTCCATCTCTTTCTCATTGTATCCAAAGTAAAACGATGGGTCGAGGAGTAAGGTGTGTGAGACTTGTCTGAGTCTCGTGAAACGTGAGTGAGATCTTTGCTGCTACTCTGAAGCAGTAGAGTCAGTCGATGATTTTTTTCTGTTTAGATATCGCAGCTTTTCGAAATTTCCCTGGTTGTAATTCTTATAGAAAAACCGGATACATATTCATAAGAAGAATGACGGGGATTTACGTGTTTTGACTAGATTAATACTAATAATAATAAATAGACTATGTGACTAGGAAAAGCGGGCTCCAATCACATGATTTCCACTCGTGTACGTAGGGTCGGTATTTCTCTGCATTTTACTTGATCTCTAACTTCTTATGTGAAGGAATCCGCGTACACCTTTCAGGTCTTAGTTGAATTAACTAACCCTCACTTTGGGTCTACAGCATTAGTTTTGCAACGACACACGTAGGTATGTTCCCGTAGTTTGTCTCTTCTATAGCTCTGACACTGCGTTGGGCTAAGCTAGGTTGATGGTCATCCACCTCATTGGAGCATTAGCAAGCAGCTACTCAACTGAATGCAATAGCTCACTCATAACAGTATGAAGGCCGCTACCCTGAAAGTATTCGTTCGCCGCATCGAATATCCTCCCAGCCCTCACCTTCTGCTGCTGTATGGTACTACGATGGTGAACGATCAACCATCCATTGTTCGCCATTCTACTGTGCACCTATTATGCACACACATACTTCGAAATAGCACAGACAAATATTGTGCCGATAACAGATAATAACAAAATTGGCAGGGGCACAGTTTATGCGGAACTACGAGACCAACTAATGGTAGCAGCACCGTGTGACTGAAACTGTTGCCTTCACGATCAATGCGAAAACGTTGATATCAGACGCGTATTCTGTGTGCAGTTAGCTAGCTAGCTATAGCCCGTCCCATACCTGATCTTAAGCAGATGCTGTTATCGTTGTTTTTACTGCGACGGCTGCTTTTCTGGCGTTCGCTTTCGAGGTGAGCTACTATGTCCGAAGTGCGTTGGGCACCGATGTTGCTACACAACAGACGACCAGGTAGCAGTCGAATATGAACAATGCAGCCCAGCAATTAACTACTTCTTCATTCTTAGAGCGTGGATGTCGTCTGAATTTGGGCGATCGGCGCCATCTTGGCCAGTTGTGGCCTTGTCCAACGTAATTAGATATGTAACCATATAAAACACGTGTTCTAAGTTCGTTGGGATTTGGTCAGGTACGAACATGTAGATGAACGAGTAAAGAGCTCCAGCGTACCTGGAATGACGACACTTCCGTTTCTACTGTCTTGACTGTTCATTGGGTGTGTTGTTTTATGAGTAGTGCATGAAACTGAGGCGCAGGATATCGCGATTTCTTCACGATGGAACTGTAAAGGCCTGGTCTTGCCAATGATAATTTTCCTGTGCCCTGCCGCGATGTTACGGTGAAAGGACGGAGACCTTTATATCAGGCCATCAGCCTTCACGAACAGCGAGCGTCAGCAGGAAAGACAGCAGTCCTGGGAGAAAGAGACTTCGCGTTATAGTAGTACAATATCTTCTTCGTCGGAGGGCTTTCTCTGCGGTCCAATCATCGCTCGGCTAAGTGTTGTCGGCCAGAACGAGGAGATACTTTAGCTTTTAGATGACGATGTCGTGCAGCTAGAAATGGTAGCTCACAGGGATTGAATGTATATATATTCGATCATGCCTGAATCATTCTATGAAGCTAGCGCGTGGAAGAGATAGGTTACTGGGCGATATTATACGCATTTAGTTGATAATCAAGAGCTAATGCAGATAACCATAAAACGTATGATTTAGATGGGTAGTGATAACAATATAATATTCGAAAGCACTAGTGCTACGTCCAGTCTGTAAAATATGTAATTTTACAGACAGAAATTTTTTTTTGTTATACATTAGCTTTGTCATTTCCAGATCAGCTTCGTACGGTACGTCCATATGTTTGCCGCTGCAAAAAGCACGAGTGTAATCTATTCTGTGATTGATATGAACTCGATAGATTTGATTCATGAAACTTAACATCAGCCAGCGAAACGTGAATACAATAGCACGTAGGCTTCTATAAATTAGCCAATTTTACTATGTAAATCCAGTGTTTATAGCGTGATCTCTATTGCGCCTGTTTAATGCGGATCTGCTATTTAGTATTAATTATAATAGCTATTCATTATAGTAGTGACAAGGAAGTACTTTAGTAGGAATATCTTCATAGTCAATAGCTGCCGCTGCTACTACCGTCGGTGTTATTGAGGTGGCCTTGCCACCTTGATTTAGCTGCCGCCATCGTTCGTGCTGGTCTGTTTCGTCTGACAAGAACAGGCTGTTTTTCTCGGCTGCTTTCACCGGCGTATTTCTAGTCTACCGTTATCAACAACTGCGACAACGATAACAGCTGTAGCAAATCTGGTACTGTTCTGCTTCTGTTTTTGTAGTCTCTGTTGCTAAAGCCGCTTCTGTTGTTCTGATCGTGTGTTTCACCACGGTTTGTTTGTGTTACTGCTATTCGACGATCTCCTCTCGGCTTTGCTGTTGCTTGTTGTTCTTGTCGCCGCTGGGATAGCGGGCTCCTTTTGGTGTCAGACCTCTGCCGCCGCCGCCGCTACCATCACCAAAGACACTCGCTGTTGCAGGGCTTACCACCCGCTTTATCATTTGTCTGCTCCGGTAATAGACAGCTGCTGCCTGGATAGATGACTAACTGATATATGGCTTCCTACCTGGCTTGGCTGGCAGGACTCACTGCTAGTACGCTTGCTTGGTTGGCTTTATGGCTCGATAGATGTATGGATATTTGCGTTTAATAATGATGGGTAACTGGCTAGCTGACTGACTGGCTGGCTGGCTGGCTGGCTGGCTTGCGGCTAGCTGAATATCACTGGTGCCATGGCTGCGTTCGCTATTGCTGCTGGCAAAACGCGATCGAGGTAATGGCAAAGGCATCAACCGCCAGCTAAATGTATCGTTACCTTGAGTTGAAAAATGTCTCCGGGTCCACTCCGGACGGCAATCACGACCGCGGCAGTAGTTGCAAACAGCAAATGAACAACTGTAGCAATGGCAGTCGACAACTAGTTCACCAAACGTCGACGCCGCCGTCGTGCCCGGCCGCAGCGAAGCGACAGTCCGCTCTCGACTGCCGCCAGTGGCCCTGTTGTAGCTGCAGCCCCGTGGCGACTGTCAGCTGTTGCTATAGCAACAGGAACGGGCGGCATAGACGGAACGAATGGATGGAGCCAATGTCGTCGTAGTCTTCGAATGAATTGCGGCTGTCGAGTCAGACATCTAACAAGAAAACGAGCAAGCGAGCATAGCCTGTTGCCGCTGCTGTCGCGTTAGCCACATTAATTGCAATAGCAATCAAGCGCTGCTAGCGTCGGCCATCATATTATTGCTACTCTTACCGCTGGCGTAGCCATCCAATCGAACGAATCGCCGCCGGCGCGGCCGTTACCTCTGCCGAGAATTAACATCAGCAACTGGCTACTCAGTTGAGCGAACGGCCACCACGAGCTCACTAGAACAACAGCATCGGTTATGCAGTATGACGACAAGGCTGAATGCGGCGACACGACGTTGAGCTCTGCAGCAATAACATGAGTAGACAGTTTACCTCACGGTGTAAGCCTGTCTGTTTTGTTCATTTATGTGCTATCCATTTCGCGCAGTCCTTATTTAAATGTTGTATCTTAAAGGCAGCTAGTGCTCCGATTTGTTGCTTCTTCACTCAGTGTTCATCGTCCGTCAATTGCTTGAAGCTGCAGTATTTAATGGAGAA